TTCAGAAGTCAAGAGGAATTGTAACTTAGGAAATAAGCAAGATTACTGAGGGCTTGGAGTGAGATGTAATTATGGTAAGTAATGAAGAGAGGGGGTGTCTAATCAGAGTCTTAACGGTACATTCATTCACGTTAGGATCAAGAGAGCTTTCTTATCAGATGTTCATTGGTCAGGAGAAAAGTCCCAGTCTTCTGTAAATCAAGCATTTATAGAAATCATACTCTCTGTTCATTGAGTTCCTCTTAAATTCCTTTCTGAGGGCCCATACACAGAAGTCTCCATTTCATATCTCCTGGCTCCATTTTAGATTGAAATCCTTTCACAATAGCACTGGGATTTGTGGTTAATATATTTTTTCTATTATTTGTCCTATGTGCCAAGGACTCAGAAGCAGAGGTTACAATTTAAGATTTTATATGGAGTTTTAGTAATCTACTTTCCCCACATCTATATCTCTACCTGTGTCCTATCTTTAAATTAATGATATAATTTTCCACTCAATTTCACTCAATTCAGAACAAAGATTATCCTGAGTGTCTGCCTTCATTTTATAAGCTATTTTCAGTAAGTCAAGTCCTGTAAATTCCTCCTTAGTAATATATCTGTCACAAGTCTCCTCTCTCTGTCCCTCTACTGTATTTAATTTCAGTTTTTACCATCCTGTGCTTGAACAATTGCAACCATAACCAGGAGGCCTATTTCCCAATCAGGGAAACATAGTGATGTCCAGTGAAACTGACAGGTACCCAAGGACTCCAAACTGTTAAGGAGGAGAAAACCTATTTTTGTCCATTCCAAGGGTCCAGCCATCTGTACATACAAAGGAAGGCACTCTGGTGTGCTCAAAGTTTTTTAATCAGTGAAAGTTTCAAAAGAAAAAAAGGGAGGGGGAGGGAGAAGAAGCGAGGGTTATTATTCAAACTTCAAAATGTCTGCTCATATTTACCCATTTCGTCAGAGCCAAACACCCAGTCAAACAGGCCAGACACAGCCACAAAGTCACCAGAAGAACAAGTTCATGGCATTACCCAGCAAGGAAAAACAAGCAACAGATTTGGCAGGGCTCAGAAATTAGAGAGAGACCACAAATTCACAATATACCATCCAATCCAGAGATCCACAGTAAGGCCAAGAAAGATGACTGCTACCATCTTGAAGAGACTACCTGCCAAAGTCACCAGCACGTCTCCCCTTCCTCTTTGTTCCACTTCCATGTATGTCTCCCTTGCTCTTTCCTCCCTCCCAGCAGTCCCATGACATACTGGGAACTGCAATCCAAGGTGTCTGAGATGTTGACACTATGGAAGTGGGGTCAAGGGAAAAGGGTACCCTCTCCCATGGTGATGATGCTCCTCTCCACTGTAACACAATACATTTCTAATTTACTTCCTAGTTAGTGAAACCTCTCTCCACCCCACACCCAGCCTAACTTCCCAGTGAAGTGATCAGGTTACTCTGCTGACTCAAAACAAATGATACCTGTAGAATCAATATTTGTAAACAGAGAATATGAAATCAGAAATGTTTCTTGCAAAAAGAAAATAATTTCCTTTAAGAAAATAAGTTTAAATTTTAAACATGTTAAATTTTTTCTTTAAGTACTGTGTTGTAAATTCTTTGTGTATAAGGGATGCTCTGGGGGGAAAATTTCCCTCAAACAGAGACACTTGTTGCTAACTAATCAAACTGGTTGAAGTTCTCAAGTAAGACTAAATTGATTAAGCTGGATCTGTTCACCACCGTAAGTGTTTTCCTCCCATTTTCAGAGTGCAGAATTAAATATCTTGCTATTTTATTATACACATAACAAACACAAACTCATATAATTGTCAAGATTATATGGTTAGAAGAGTGTTAAAAGCAACAATTAGCAATAGCTTAATACAGAGTTCATGAACTTGTGGTTAATCATCTTATCTAAAATAGAATCCCTTTGTCCTGAGCATACAGTTGGCACTAAGGCAGTGTTGGTTCCAATACAGGATTTTATTATGCTGAACACAAACTCAACATACAAGGGAAGGCCACTCAAAATCCCCCCCAAAGTACCTCAGTCCAATTGGGACAATGTCTTAGACATGGAGGAAGTCACCAGAGTCAAACTGTAAGAGGCCAGGAGGCTTTCGCATTCAACCAGGGAGCAGTGTTTGCGACACACTCGACCATAAGAAGGTGCCATGCACACGGTTTCCTGCAAGCAGATCCTTGGAGAGGTCCTACTTAACCCTGGGCCAGCCAGGCAATGGGGTCTGGAGGTGCGGGCTAGGAATGATAATGAATCAGGCATAAACACACATACACACACACACACACACACACACAGGATTCTCAGGCAAAAAGAAGTTCCTTTATTGTTCTGATTCCCTCCTTATATATCCCACAATCTCCGCCTCCGTACTTTTTCACCCCCCTTGTTTGTACACTGTCTGAGCATTTAGTCCTGCCAACAAAACCATACTCCTTTTGGGTACAAGAGACCCAAAAAGGGGAGTTCTTGTTCTTTAAAAGCCCACAGTGTTTCTTTCTAGTGTTCCTGGAGAGTTCCGAGAAAGTCCTCTGTTCCTCTGTGGCAAGAGGGCAAGGATGTTGGTTGAGAGCAGTGGGTACAGAGGCATAATGGCATAATGACTGGTCAGTACCCAAGTCTGTAGGTGCTCTGAGCTCTATGGTAAAGCCTGACTTTTAAAGCCATTTGGGCAGTCTTTCAGGGATTTTTGGTCTCCATTGATAAGCTATAGGTTTGTTACAGGGCAAGAAGGACAATCCTGAACCCTCAATAGGTTCTGCCATCACCTCATCAAAACAAAACATAAGACCTTGAACACAACATAAGAACTTTAACATAATGAGTGTGCAATACAGAAAAGAGAATATAGCTTCTAAATCAAACACCCAAAGTTACCCATCCCTCAAGGGTGCCCAAAAAGAATTGGCCCAAAGCAAGGCCTGAAAGCCCACCACAAGTCCACAGCACCTTCTGGTGGGGACCCATAGAAAAGGGTCAGAAATAGCCAGGCAAGAGTAGGAAATGAGCAAAATCAAAATCAAGATAAATACTGTCAATCAACCTCCACATGGGTCTCTCACCCACATCTGTTTCAAACAGTCCAGGGCTAAGAAACAAAAGCTACTTCTTCACATGTCTTTGTGCTCCCTGTGCCACCCTCAGGTCTCCTTCTGGCTCTCCATCCTGCTTCCTTCCTCTTCACTCCTCCCTGCTCAGCTCCACCCTTTTGGGTGGGGCAGGAAACCTGGAACCTCCCCTTTTCCGAGGGACTACACTGTTACAGGTTGACTGTGGCCTTATCAGTCCTTGCAGCTGTGTGTCCCACAGCAGTTACTTGTTCACACCAAGATCCAAGTTACAGCAAAAACAATGTACATCAAGTGCTCCAACTTACATCATAACAAATGGTTTACAACGTATGTTCCTAACACCCTTTAAGGATATTTTTAAGAGTTCTTTATTTATGCATACAAGAGCTGAGTTGCCCTTTAAGGCTTTATCCAGCTTTATTTTTCTTCTCAGTACTTATCATCAGCAAATATTTTGTCCATATTTTTGTCCCATCAGAAAGTATATGTCTGAAGGGCAAGGACTTTATTTTGTAAAAATAATGGACCAGGGCCCTCCCTGGTGGCACAGCGGGTTAAAGCACAACACTAAGACTCTAAAGCCACTTCGCAAGAGTTCCATCCCCACCTGTCCCAGAGGTGACCCATATGGTGCAGCACACCTCTCCCGACCCACCCGCTGCTCCCCTTAGCAGTGGACTTTGTTGATTGATCTGCCTGTTCGGCTCCCAGCTCTGTCTCTGGTGAATCCTCTCACCACCCCTGTACCTCTGGTCTGTACTCCAGTTATGTATGCAGATAAATAAATCTTTAATAAAAATAATGGAAGATAAATAAATCTTTAATAAAAATAATGGAACCGGCCCTCCCTGGTGGCGCAGCGGGTTAAAGCACAGCACAAAGAAGCTTAAGCCTCTTCCGCATGAATTCGATCCCCATGGAGAGGCAGACCTCTCCTGACCCGCCTGCTGCTCCCCTCAGCAGTGTACTTCGTAGATCTGCCTGTTCTGTACCCCCACTCTGTCTCTGGTGAATCCTCTCACCCTCCGTATCTCTGGCCTGTACCCCAGTTCTGTACGGATAAATAAATAAATCTAAAAATAACAATAATAATAATAATAATGGAACCAGTTCTGTTTTTGCTTGTTTATATATATTCCTAGTGTAGTGTGTGATATAAATTGCTTAAATAGGTAAAGGGGAAAAGTTAAAATAAATTTGAAAAATGTACTCCCTTACATAGTGGAGAAATGGCTTTTCCCCTTTATAAATTGCAAGCAAGTTTCAAGCAAAGTCCTCAGAACAACCCTGAAAAAAGGCGGAGTCTACGGGTGATTTGGTGATGGGAAACCCGTGGGGATTACAATCGGGATGGGAAAAAAAATGTGCAAAATGATGTAAAAATAAACTTTTGTAATAATTAAAAAAAATAAAAAATAAAAATAAATAAAAAAATAAGGCGGAGTCTGTGTCAGGAATATTACACAAGCTTGAAAACATGTCTCGGTCACAGAGCAATGAAACTGGTTGGCTCAGTCTGAAAGTCACATTTGGCACATTGTATCACAGCCAAGTTCTTCAGAAGGCATACAAAAAAGGGACAGCACCATGGATTATTTCTTAGCTCTCACATCATTCTCTTTCAATTTTTAAACTGAGAATAAAGCCTACAAGAGAAAACATTGCGATAAATACGAAATAACAAGAGGAGCGCCGCCTTTGCCCACAATTATGATGGCCGAAAAGCCTTGTCTGCCCACATCCAAAATGGACATCAACTGCGACTCGCCCAACAATCTCCCACTGACCATGCCTCATAAACTGTAACACCCCCTTCTTCCAAGACGCCATGTACCCGCCTCTTCCTCCAGAAAGCGGCTCATGATTGGCTAGCCATAGAGTTTGCAGAGGATGTTACCTCACGCTGTGAGCCAGAGGACCTGCGCGTAGTAACAGTAAGGGCTGCGTTGAGTATTAGGGAGTTTGCGCATCTGCCTGTCGCCGGCCCGGAAGGAACACTGTGACCGGGATCTGAGGTAGGGCTTCTCCCGGCCGACAGACACCGGAATTCCATTTACCACTGACTCCTCGCCCCGCGAGGCAACAGAGTGCGTCTTGGGAGGGCCCGGGGCGGAGGCGCTCTGGTTGCGTCACAACCTGGCGGAGCGTCGGGCCGTCGACCTGTGGGTGACCGGGTGGATGGGGGCGGCGGCTGCTAGGACAGGGTATGTAGGCAGCGGCTCACGCTCACCGCTTTCCTCCCTGGGGTTGCTGAGTCATTTGTAGGGCCCCACAGCCACCATCCAGGAAGCCACGAGGGTGTCTGAAGCGGGGGTGTGGAAGTGTCCCTTGACTTTGGGAGACTTGAGGCTCTCTGCCTCGTTCTCATCCGAGTCTAGTGAGGTGGGTGAACTTTCTCGGGTACTCGACGCTTGATCTCAGTATTCTCAAGCGTGCCGGGTTGGTAACATTTGCACATTTCATAACGAAGGCGAAATTCATAGCCTGTGGAGAAGGAAAGATCCCCATCCTGTTCTGTTATTGGACATAGAGGTCACTGTCTCACTGGGCCTCTTTCCCAGAGGGTGGCCTAAGGACTGAGGAAGATACCTGGCGATTGTAGGCTGATATGATGTAATAGTGTGAAAGTGCTCCCAGTTGGTAATTCTCCAAAGGCCATCTGCCCAGTCTTGTACGCCCTCACATATCTGGTGGCAAGGCTGAAAGTACAGTGCTTCTTTAAGCAAGGGTTTTGGTTAGGGGTGGAAGAAGGTTGCTAAATAAAATATATACTGTGTCGCCTAGAATCCTAGAATCTTTTGGACCGAATTGAGATCCAAGAATCTACATTTTACATCGCATCCCACATGAATTCAGTGCTTTGAATGTTTGTCCTGTATTGAGGAAAAGTGTTATTTGGCTTGTCTAAGCATAACTTTGTGATTTGATTTCCCTTGCTATTTTTATAGGATTATAATGCAGTATGACCTCGAAGAATTGTCTCTTCCTTGGATGATACCTTCCTCTGCTCAAAAGCTGTAGTCTTATTGTAACTTTTCACTTTCAGTGCTATTGTAAATCTGAACTCACAGCCACATTTGTAAAAGTTGTCACACATCCTGAATTTTCTTAAATAATAAAGTCTGCCTCAATCACTTATTTTATGCACAGTCACATTTCCTGTTGTTCAAACTGGGATATAAGCCTTTTCAGTAGTCAGTCCAAAACTGGATTCCATGGGATGGATTTCTTGAACTATAAGGGATAAACAGATTTCATATTACCCAGCATTTCTACTCAAAAGTCATTGACTTCTTCTTGGTTTTGAATCCTGAGTATCTTCCCCTAATTGACTAATGAATTTTTTTTTTTCCATCTCTGTAGCATTTAAAATCTGCTTGATAAACCTGGTGCACCACCATGCTGGCCGCAAGACTGGTGTGTCTCCGGACACTACCTTCCAGGGTTTTCCACCCAGCTTTCACCAAGCCCTCCCCTGTTGTAAAGAATTCCATCACAAAGACTCAGTGGCTCTTAACACCTAGCAGGGTAAAAATAATTATAATCTGAATATTTTTGTTTCTCAGTATGTATTTATTTGACAGTAATGTACTACGTTCCTGTAGTACATTAGTGATTTGCTGCAACAGTTAGCCCTCATAATATTCCATATCAGCTTTTTCATCCATTAGTTTTATATTATTCTGTTCCATTCTTAACCTGTGAAAGAGACAAAAAGAGCTCTATTACCTTTCCTTTACTTAATAGCTCTTAGAGTTTCTCTTTCAGAGTATTTAGGCTAACTTATGGGGGATTATGAACAAAATGATACAGCAAAATTATTATGGACACTATGTTTAAGAAGCCAGGAATATGACCATTTGGCCAGTAGCTTACTAATCAGCTACTGAAAATATCCATTTCAGCTCCTCTGGAGAATAGTAAAACAAAATGTCAGGTTAGAGAGAAACCCATTTCCTTTCATAATATTTTTCACTAACATTCAAATTAAAGAGACAAATTTTAGAGATGAGAGAGTAGATAAGAAAATAGACAATATCTGAAGGAGATAGCTTTTTTCCTCTTGAACTGTTCTTTTGAAAAGAGTTAAAAGTAGTGATTATTTATCCTTCCCTCTCACCGTAGTACATACTGAGTTTTTTTCCTTAGTGTTTCAAATATTGTAATTCTAGAGATACAAATCTCTATGAGTTTATGAAACAATTCTGCAATTTAAACAAGCATTTCATGAATCATTTTGAAGATATAACATAGATAAGGTCTATATTTAACTTTTTAGTGGCTTTTTAAATGGCTAATTTGCTTTATTCATAAACGGAAAGTACGAGATAGCTTTATGTAGAGTTTATTGTGTAACAAGACCTTTCAATGCCTTTGTTTTCATGTATGTCAGGAATATGCCACCAAAACCAGAATTGGGATCCGGCGTGGGAAAACTGGTCAAGAACTTAAAGAGGCAGCATTGGAACCATCAATGGAAAAGATATTTAAGAGTAAGTGATACTCTTTAGGTTTTAAACTAGAATACTATTATGTTTAAGAGGTCTTTGAACAACTTCCTAAAAGCTTAGTCAAATTTCTATATTTGTACATTTTTAAGATTTATTTATTTATTTATGCATACAAAACTGGGGTACAGGCCAGAGGTGCAGGGGTGGTGGGAGGATTCACCAGAGACACAGTGGGGAGCAGAACAGGCAGATAGACAAAGTACACTGCTGAGGGGAGCGGCGGGCGGGTCAGGAGAGGTCTGCTGCACCATGTGGATCACCTCCTGGGCCAGGATTGAATTCATGCTGAAGTGGCTTTAGCTTCTTAGTGCTGTGCTTTAACCCACTGCACCACCAGGGAGGGCCTATATTTGTACATTTTTAGGAGGAGAGAAAGGATATAATCATTCTCAGAGACCTGAGAAAATTGTAGTATCTTACACTGGGTTCAGTGGTTCTCAGTATTTCTTCCAGAGAAAATTTAACTTTAGCCACTTCTTTTTTAGGATGTAGCTAACAATCTATAAAAGGTATAATTTGTTAAGGAAGTTTATTTGAATTTGCAGAGCCTTCATTCAGCATATATTACTTACATGTTTCAGGTCAAGAGTAAGTTGCCAAAATAAATGTAAATAAAAGGCCTAGCTGTTCAAGAAGGGTCTTCATAGTGACTGGCAGTATAAGGCCTATCAGGAACTCAGTACCTTAATGAAGTCATTTTGGTTCACAGTTTGGATTCTAACTTTGAAGTTAACATTTTGTTAATCTATCCAAAGCCAAAAAACATCTTTCCTTAACAACCTTGCAAAATGTCAGCACACTACAATGGAAAAGATCACCAGTCAGCATTTGTCAAGGCAAATCGTTTTAATAAGGTGGCCCCAGGAAACAAATTACATGAATCATAGCAACACTCTTAGTATACAAATTTAGACTGAAGGGAATAAGACATTGTTTATGACTACTTCCTTCAAATTAGAACTGGTAAGTTAATTATTTCTTTGGCAGTACTCTAAAACAAGCGGACCCTCTCCCTTGATTCTACTCCATAAACACTTTTTCTTTGGCTTTCTTGTTTCTTAATTCTATAAAGAATCATCTTTGTAAATAGCACATTGGACAGTGTAGTGTGACTTGACATTTCTTTCTCATCCTTGCTCTCTAAAAATGTCTTGAACACACCCCACTCTTACTAATAGAATAGTGTATCTTGGGAAGTATGCCCACATACATTGCCCCCTTTTTTTTTGAAGAAATATTAATCAAGTCTGGGGATTTCTTGTACTGGTTTTATACCTTTGTTTTTAGTGGTATCCTTGTTTACTAAGGCTTTTTTTCTGTATCTCCATATATACAAGTTATAGCTTTTATGAAGAAAAACACCATATGGTTTGACTTCTCTTACATAAATATTGGGAACTTTAATTTAGTCAATGCATGTCACTATTAATATGTATTTATCTTGTGTACCACAGTTGATCAGATGGGAAGATGGTTCATTGCTGGAGGGGCTGCTGTTGGTCTTGGAGCATTGTGCTACTATGGTTTGGGAATGTCTAACGAGATTGGAGCTATTGAAAAGGCTGTGTAAGTAAATTGTTCCAAGACATTTCCATTGTTGAACCAGAGATTCCAATTTTCTTCTCACTATTTTTTGCCACTTTTGGAATGTAATGTATCTTCCAAGTATGTAGAAAAATACATGAATAAGAATCAACTTTTATTTAGTTGGCAAGTATTTATTCAAACCTAAGTAAAACTCTCTTACCAAAACTAAATGTGTTTAAGCAAGGAGAAAATGTATGACAATAGCATCAGGTGCTTATTTGTTTTATATTAAGTTTTTTCATAACAATTAAATTATGAATTTGCAACTAAGCTTCTTAGCACTATGTAATGAAAAGCACAAAAATAATGTTTCCGTTTTTACATAGATTTATGCCAAAGACAGTTGTTAATAAGTATTCTTCGAAGATGAAACATTTTAGATATTTCCTGTAGCCATCTCATCAGAATATCTGTCTCTGGATATTACTTTGGAAGAAGTTGGTATATGAAGTAAGCTTAGAATTTTTCAAAATAAATCCCAATTAAAAGTACTAAAGTTAAACTGAAAGAATTTTGATTGAATTTTCCTTTTCAAGAACATTAATAAGGGAAATCAGGCATTTTGAAAAATATCCTGAAGAAATCACAGTATCCTTCTGCCTCTACAAGCTAGAGACTATTTTCTTTTCCTCAGCTTTGGAAACTGTGAAGAATAGTCTATAAGCAACTTTAGGCAGGAGAAACCTAAAATAAAGCTCAGGCAGTTGAACGAATGGACACTTCTTAAAAGAAATTGGGGAACTTAGCCAAAGAATCCAAATTCTATTCATAACTGATATGAAAATGAAGGGACTCTTCCCAATAATTGTAAGACTTGTGTAATTATTTCCAAGATAAATGAATAAGATTTAGGGCAGTAAAGCAGTGCATTCCAAGACCTCCCAGCTAGTAAGTGATTCTTTGGAAATTCACATCCACAGTATTAATAAATTAACCATGTTTTGTTTCTTAACAGAATTTGGCCTCAATATGTAAGGGATAGAATTCATTCTACTTACATGTACTTAGCAGGAAGTGTTGGTGTAACAGCTTTGTCTGCAATGGCAATGAGCAGAACTCCCGCTGTCATGAACTTCATGATGAGAGGTTCTTGGGTGGTAAGTTAGTTTGTTCTTGTTTTCCATTTCCAGTAAACATCCAAAGGTTAAATAAGAACTGAACAAAATTTTGTTTAAATAATGTATAAAGGACCGAGGTAGCTGAGACAAAAATAGGAAGCACATTCTGAGGTTAAGTCAGCTGTTACTTATTGAATATATATTTTGATAACTCCAGAGGGATTAGAAACCAAACATATAGGAGCATCTAACTTATATCAGATTTCAAACAACCTCTGTTTTTTACTGAAAAAATGAAGAAAATGCAAAACCATATTAAGAGGTCAGTGAAAAATACCTGTCACAAAAACATGAGCGTTCTATTTAAGTATAGAGTAGTGCTTTCACTACTACTAACTTCCTTAGACCTTTACAGGATTTTGTCTTCTATGAGTATTGCTTGAAAATATGTTATTTTGTTAGATATTAAAAAATTACTTCAGTCATGATACCTATTAACTGTCTGGTTGAAGAAATAAACAAACTGAAGTGGCAAGGAGTGTAATAGTCTGCCTCTGTATTCTGGGAAAGTATTATCTAATATCTTACTTTCAGGTAAGAGAGCATTCCATAATTTAAAAAAAAGAACATGTAAATTCAGTTAACAGACCTTTTGTCTTGAGCTAGTAGGGAAATTCTATGAAGGAAACATTTCATTGGAACTTACTAAAGGGGCTAGTATTTTTAATTTGAGGAAAGCATAAAGTAATCCTGATTTGCAATACGGCTATGCAAAGGAGACTTTTATGTCATTAAAAGTGATGTTAAAATCCTATTGGTATAAAATTTGAGTGTTTGGCATCTGTAATATGCGAAAGACATTTACAAAGGAAATGTTTGCCAAGCTGAGGAGTGTTCCTGTGCAATTAATTAGAGGACATTGCAGATGTAGGAGCAACAAAAAAAAATGATTTGTGTTTGAGTTTTAAGAGTAAGTGTGGACAAGAAAAGAGGAAAGTGTAACAGGAGGCCTTTGTAAGATGATAAAACTAGAGCAATTAGTGTGAGACAGGAAGGGAAGATAGGGCAATTTATAGAATAGAAATTTCCCATGTTAAACTAATTGTTCTGTTATTTAACCCAAATCCATTTAATTTCCAAGTCTGTATTATTTTCACTATATTACACTTCCTAAAATGAATACCATTTACCAGACGTGTAACCACTTAGTATTGTTATGATCTTCACAGGTGAGTGTCATGAATCTTCTAGCCTAAAGCTTCATGAAGACACATAAATAAGGGGGTCTTCTTAATTTGCCAGGAATGTCAGTTTTGATCATAGGGAATTTTAATCAGTGCTGTTAATAGCAAGCATGGCTGTGTAAGCAAGAATGAAATATACAAGAGATTTTAACCCCTAAAGTAAAGCTACAAAAAACTTTTATTTTGGGGCCAGATTCTCAGTCCTTTCTCTGTAGGCATAAGATCACTCTTCCTTGCTGCTAAAGCTTATAAGTAAAATAGTTTGGAATTCCAGACAGGTGCTACAGAAGTGAAGATGTAGCATTTGAAGGCCGATAGACATATACACAGTGTCAAGCTTTATGACAGGAGTTTTGGAATGAGAGAAGCATCTGACAACTACTCATGGCAGCCAGGGTACCTTGAGCCTGACTATGCCAAGAATTACAAGTTTTCTAATTCTGCTTTAAGTTTTCTGAAGATACACATTTCTTCCTTGTTAAACAAGGAATATTTAAGTTTACAACAGTGGAACTAAGATTAGAGAAAAAGGATAAAAACAAGTCAGCCATCAAATTAAAGTAGAAATGTCGAGTCTTTCTCATTCTCCTTTGTACTGTGATATTTACCTTCTATTTTTCAGTTTTTCATTTAACAAATAATTCAAAGCAATGTGCTATATACTTGTATGAATATATGTACATATGTATTCTAAATATATTAGATCTCTTTTAATGCTGTTTGCTAGAATTTAAAATAATCATTCTGTAACTTTATAGTTTTTGATAATATTCCCAACAAGGGTAAAATTTTTATAAGCTGAGTCAAAGTTCAATTCATACACTTAAAGTTGTCTATAAAACTTTGTGACAATAAGGGGCACTTTTGGTTACAGGTCAACACTGAAAATGTAAGGCCTTTAATATGCTAGAAATTTACAGGATTTGGTTTATAACCCTTCAGCCTTTTTAACATAGTTTATTGGATAGACTGTTTGGGCCATGTTTTATTGCAGAAGGATCAGTTACTCTTCGTTATATGTATTTTTCAGACAGTGGGTGCAACCTTAGCTGCCATGATTGGAGCTGGAATGCTGGTACAGTCAATATCCTATCACCAGAACCCAGGTCCAAAGCACCTTGCTTGGTTACTACATTCTGGTATGTTCTGGCTTGTTAAACAACCTCCGATGCTACTGTGTTGGTTCATCACAAGTAAATCACTTGTACGTAATTGATTAATCTACATGTTTAGGAAACACAATTTTTTTTTTATTTGTTGGTGGTTATATTATTGCTACACAACCTCTGATCTGAAAAGTTAATGGTTCTAAAGCTAAAGCTAGGGGCAACCCCACTGTCACACCTCCTGTGATAGTCTAGTCTATGCAGACTTCTTTTAATGTATTTTGTGTAATATTTGGAGGATTTCAGATCTGATACATATCAGTTGAGTTATTTTTATTGGGCATCTTTAAAAACTGAGAGTTGAGAAAAAGAGGAATAGCTATAAGATGTGTGAAATAATAATAGAGGTTTTTGCAGTTGAGCATTAACAGCCAGAAAGATCTTTGCATTTGTTTGAGATGGTTAGATGGGTCAGAATTTTGATGCTGTTACTAGCACAAAGGTACCATGATTAGGGGGAAATCTGTCAAATCCTGATATTAAAAGAAAATTTTTAGTATTTTTTTTTTTTTGATACATACTATGATACCATCCTTCAAAAAAGAAAAAACTTTTAAAGTTTAGACAAAGTGATTTCCTTATCATGTATTGCAGGATATTTTGTCTCTGGACATGGTCTGTACCACAAATAAGAATTTCACTAAAACTTCAGTTGACAACCTCTGAATTGCTTTTGATATGCGTTAATAAATACAAATTAGGTATTTTTGGCACCTAATATGATAAATTTTGGTGTGAAATATTCTTCATATGCTATCAGAGTTCTTTTTTGTTTTTTAATTTTAAGTATGCATCCTTTCATTGAAACACCAAAATCCTTCCCACCTGAATTTTATTGTTGATATTTATGTTTTCAATTTTCAGGATTTTGTGTGGTCATTGAGTAGAGTTCTGCATTTATTTTAAACACTGAATTCCTTGAGAAAACAAATTCAGTGTCCTTGTATGGCTGGTAATTATAGATACTTAGTAACTCACTAAATTGAATTCAAGTAGCTGTGTGGTTTTAATTCAGTTAAGCCTAAGTAAGCCTATCTGCATGGCTGCTTGGAAAATCCTTTTTAATTTGATGTTGTTACAATATATAAATTACTTGAGCCATAGCATTTTGTGTGTGTTGGGAGTCCCCACGACCACCTATATATTCAATGGTTTGTTAGGAATTAAGGGAAAAAGATGCAGCCAGTCTGGAGAAATTCACACAGGTATTTAGTGCTCTCTTCTGCTGGTGAGAGGACATACCTACAGTGCAAACAATAGAGTAACATGCAGTATTGCAGCAAAGAGAAACCTTGGTGCCCAAGGTTTTTCTCCAGGTACTCTATATCAGGACAGCCACCTTGACATTATTTCAAGCCCAGTACTCTGCTCTTTCATTCACCTGCATGACTGAGAAGACATGGGGCTTGGATGACCCACTCACCATGTTTAAGGGACAGCAGAGCTGAGTTTTGACATGGTACTAACATCCCAGTACACTCTGTTTTCACTTTTCATCCCGGTGTGTAACACTCTGTAGACAAAACTGGTTTCAATCATAGTGTGTTTTCACCCAGCTATATTCAGATATGTGACATATACTATTGTATAAGTTTAAGGCACGGAATAGATTCGTTTGATCTATATTACAAAATAATTACTACTATAGAAGTAGCTCACAATCCTCTAGTTCCGTATCTTTTTTTTGTAGTGAGTACATTTAAAATCTGCCTTCTTAGTAACATGTAATAAGTTACATACCCAAGTTACATGATATAATTATCATCGTTATGCTTTATACATTAAATCCCCAAACTTGTTAATCTCACAACTGGTAGGTTTGTGCCTTGAGACCAATATTCCCCTATACCTCACCCCCTGGTAATCACTACTCTATTCTGTTTCTGAGTTTGCCTTTTTCAGATTCCACCAAGTAGTATTTGTTTCTATTTCATTTAGCATAATACCTACTACAAGATTCATGGAAGTTATTATAAACAGGATTTTCCTTCTTATGGCTGAATAATACTGCATTTTTTATCCACTGACCCACTTCAGACAGGTTGTTTCCACATCTTGCCTGTAGTCTTCCAATCAACCTGGGGGTACAGGTATCACTATGAGATCCTAAAATCCTTGACTGTTAGCCCAGAAGTAAAATTGCTGGATCATACAGTAGTTCTATTTTTTTACTATTTTGAGGAACCTCTATTTCCATAGTGACTGTACCAGTTTGTAGAATATTGATTTTCATTTACATAATAATGTTAACTTCATTAGTTTTGTATGTCCTTGAGTAACATACATCTTTTACCATTTAAGATTTTATCTAAAAGTCACTGAAAAATCTCTGAATAATCTTAAAGTTTGATAAAAATTGTACAATCAGTTGCAAAATTGATGGGAATTATAATAGAAATGTCTTACAGAGGGATTTTTATCCCTTTTCTTAAAGCAGAAAAATATTTATCAATTATATATCAGTATGAGATATGATATACCTTAGTATTTGACCTGGAAGTTATACAAAAGATGCATTCTGGTATTGAATTTCAACATGATGATAGCTTGGGCCTATTCTAAGTTAAACTTTGAGCACTTAATGTTTTAGAAAATGATACATTATTCTATCTATCACTGAAAATAATACTTTATTTGAGATTGATGTTTTATGTTCTCTTTGTTAATCGTTACTAATTTTTATGAAGATGTTTATATGACAAGTAAAGGTACTATTTACAAACTGGTATCATTTCCCTATTACATGAGGGAACAGCAATGTCTGTCCTCAGAACCTACATTGAAAGATAACATTATATGCTCGTTCTTTTGTTGAACTTTGTTCCCTCTTTGTTACTAGTAGATTTGACCTTGAGTTATTTGATTTAAGGCTTTTTATCTCAATTTTTGTATATGTGAATATTGTTACAAAAACTAGTGATATGCTGAGGTCCAATTAATGAGATACATGAATTTGATGAAGTTACTAACAGTCTAGATTGTTACTACTTGTGAGTTGTGATTATTTGAGAACAATATTGCTGCTGTGCTTTAGAAGTTGGATAGCCACAAGTTTTGGTTATAACATTTTGGGGGTAGTTTTTAAATAAGGAGAAGACTTTACACAATCATTGTTTAACAGTAAGTTAATACTTGAAATCTTAGTTAGAAGTTGCATTTTCTTGTTAAATTATTATTCAATGACAGAGTACTTGCTCTTGTTTTCCAGGTGTGATGGGTGCAATGGTGGCTCCTTTGACAATACTAGGAGGGCCTCTTCTCATCAGAGCTGCATGGTACACAGCTGGCATTGTGGGAGGCCTCTCCACTGTGGCCATGTGTGCACCCAGTGAGAAGTTTCTGAACATGGGCGCCCCTTTGGGAGTGGGCCTGGGTCTCGTCTTTGTGTCCTCACTGGGTAAGCTGCTATGCTTTGACACTTGGTTCTTGGTTCATGGTACCCTAAAATCATCTGAAGTATTCAGGTGTCCTAAGTAGAAGAATTTAAGTGTCATTCTTAAAAGTTGTTAAAAAAGATATGTGCAAAGAAGGTGAAATTGAGTAATGGAATAAAAGGCACAGTGATGTATAGAAACTAGACTTTCAATGATGATCATGATGTGTTTACAGATGTAGAAGTACAGAGTTGTATAACTGCAACTTAGAATAGTATCAACCAGTATTATCAGTAAACATTTAATTAAATATATGTGTGTGCGTGTATACACACATACAGACAAGTTTTATGGGTTTTCTATTTGGTATCATCGCCAATCATTATTGTTGGTTTTACCAAATATGTCTAAAATGGGAAAACATTGCTATGGTGAATAAGAAAATTGTCATCACTTAAGTGTAATGTGAGCAGGTAACCCATGTGAGCAGTAAGCATTGTGGGATTTTGAACTTCACATACATAAAATTAATACACATACTCAGACAGTTTCTTAACCTGTGTATCATACCAAAGAAAAAATTTAAATAATATTAATTGTACATTTTACTACAGGAAAGTACTTTTTCAAAAATGTTATCTCCTTTTGATTTCAGGTTCTATGTTTCTCCCACCTACTTCTGTGGCTGGTGCCACTCTGTACTCAGTGACAGTTTATGGAGGATTGGTTCTTTTCAGCATGTTCCTTCTGTATGATACCCAAAAAGTAATCAAGCGTGCAGAACTAGTACCATTTTATGGGACTCAAAAATATGATCCCATCAATTCGTAAGTATTCTGTAATGTGTTGCAAAAGGGTATTTGTGTTTTGGACATTTTGGTCTATTGTTTTATGACTATTTGCTCAGACTTCCATAAAAAATGCTGAAAATTATAACTTATAAGTGATTTAAAACAACAGAAATTATTAAATATGTAGACACCAGCAGTCTGAAATCAAAGTGATAGCAAGGGTTAGTACCTTCTAAGTACTCTAAGAGAGAATACTGTTCCTTGTGTCTCTTCTGACTTCCTAGGATAGCCAACAATCTTCAGCATTCCTTGGCTTATAGATAAGCCCCTCCAGTCTCTGTCTTCACATGACATTCTATCTGTGTCGTCTCTTCTCTTTTTAAAAAGGACACGAGGCACATTGGATTAGAGCTTATAAATCCAGCTTGACGTTGTTTTAACTGACTTCTTAATTATATCTGCCAAAACCCACTATTCCCCATATAAAGTCATATTCGTGGTACCAGGTTTAGAACTACAATCTATCATTTGACTTCAACCCGTAACAGTGGCTTTGTTAGATTTTAGTTCTATTTCTGTTACTATTTGACTCATTATCTTTCTTTAGTAAGTTATGTATCCATCAGATTTTGAATGTATTTCAAATAAGTGCAATAGTCCGGTATTATAATTCATAGTATTATGCCTGTATTTAGTAACTAACTTTATAGTGCTTGCATTGGCCAATTAAGTTTTTTAGTTAACTTACTTAATAGACTTTAAAAATGAAGAAAAGAGGCCCTCCCTGGTGGCGCAGCTGGTTAAAGCACTGCACTGAGAAGCTAAAGCCACTTCCCCATGAGTTCGATTCCCGCCTGCCCCGGAGGTGACCACATGGCGTGGCAGACCTCTCCTGACCTGCCTGCTGCTCCCCTCAGCAGTGTACTTCGTTGATCTGCCTGTTCTGCTCCCCACTCTGTCTCTGGTGAAGCCTCTCGCCACCCCTGAGCCTCTGGCCTGTACCCCAGTTCTGTATGTACAAATAAATAAATCTTAAAAAAAAAAAAAAAAGTGAAGGAAAGATAGGTATTAGCCAAGTATTACTCATTGAAAGTATACATAACTGACATAAAACTTCAAATAAAAAGTTTTTTTAATAAAAAAACCTATTGTTGAAAATTGAAAAAACGTCATAATGAAATTACATTTTGGAGACACTCAAGTTTAACTGTTACATGTTACAAATACTTTTTTGTTTTCTTGACCTCACTAGCAAACTGGGTAGTTTTATTTAAACAATTGTCTTGAGTTACACTGTGTCTGCCACATTTTTTTAAGTTGTTTTTTTTTTTTTCCCCAAACGTAATAATTTAAAAGCTGGTGTAAAAGTTAAAATTTTTAGCATTTTTCATGGGGGAGGGGGCAGACATTAGGGAATATTTATAATTAAAAATGCCAGACTTGTTTCTAGCACCTTTATGTAAAGGTGTTTCTTTGGTTTTGACTATTTCATTGTCTATCACCCAGGGGTTTTTTGTTGTTGTTTGTTTTTGTTTTTTGCAAGATGCTATTCATAGTAGAGTGTCAAAGGATAGAATAATGGTACTTTTTCAACTTTCCTTCAACATGTAAAGATCTGCCAGAAGAAAATTTTGGCTGTTTTCTAGTCTAGGACTTCCTCAGATGCATCTTGTTTTTAATTTTCATTTCATATTCCTAGGACAAATAATTAGTATTTTTTCCTTCTAAATTAGTTTTTATCGTTGTTATTAAAATTATACTTAGTGGGCAAAATTTTCTTTTCTAGGATGATGGGAATCTACATGGATACATTAAATATATTTATGCGAGTTGCCACTATTCTAGCAACTGGTGGAAGCAGCAGAAAGAAGTGAAGTGACTCAACTCTGGCTTCTTAGATACATCAGATATCTTACTTGTTAACAGGAGCGGATACTCATTAGTTTGTACAAGCAGCTTTTTTTGAAATTTAGTAAATAAGAACTTGTCAGCATGTTTCAAATGTTCCAGTAATATAATGCTTCAGGTCTGCTTTTTCTTCTGGATAATAAATTCAGTAGTTCTCTCCCAAATAAGCACAAACATTTCCAGTTCTTGTGTTTGAGTAATTCTAGTTGTTCTAATGAATGTGAAAGCTAAGGTTTGTGTTATGAAAATATGTGTCTAGTTTTAATTTATTTCGAAGTGAAAATTAGTAAACCTGCATAATATTTTTATTGCAGAATATTGACAATGTCATAAGTGACATACAGGTTTAGTGAAAGGACCCAGAAGAAATAAAGGGTCACTTGCAGTCTTTCTTTGAATACTTAGCACTTCTGTGTTGATGAGCCAGTGAAACGGGTCTATTTGAAACAAACTCACTGTTTTTATATTCATCTGCTGAACTTATCAAAAGTATTGAGCATTTAGTCAAAACATAGGTGATTCATTCTCCTGCTATTTTGACAGTGTTAGAACAATATAGAATGTTAATCACATGGAAAATTCCAGGTTAACATATATATATATATATATATATATATAAAATTGTTAATATGTACCTGAGTTTTGCTTTTGAAGTTTAATGAACACATTATCCTTAAAATGTTTCTCAGAATAATTAGTAAAAGCATGAAAATCATTTCATTTTCTAGTACAGAAACCATATATTCATAATTGCTGAGTTTTGGGGGGCATATTTATTGAAATTTTTAATAGAATACATGCTTGCCTCTTTCATCTCTTCAAGCTTTAAAGCTTTCTTCAGAAAAGCCTGTTTGTGGTTTACCCTTGAGATTATGAAAGCAGTTTTTCTCCTGACTTTTTTAATGTTATTTCTCATACAAAGCACTGAAAAGGAAGGCAAAAGCAGTTTTTCTTCATTCATTATAGCAATAAAAAATGCAACAGGGAAAAGGCTAAAAGGCTTCATATATTCCTGGCAGAATTTTTTCTCTCCTATATAGACTAATATTTAACTCTATGACATTTATAGGTTTCCTGATACAGAAGAGTTATTTTTGGGTATTCTTAATAAAAGAAATAAGTGTATGATTATTTAGATGCTTAGTATTTTTGACAAATATTTATTACGTAATCCAGAAACAGCTATTCTAAACATCTCAAAGTATACGGGATGCTTCTTCCTGAAGTAATAAAGATTCCAGACAGATAATGATTGGTTTTGTGATCTTTTTAATTGAACTGTATGCATACTATTTGAATAGGTAATTTGTTCAAGAAAAATTTATTATCTGCTGCCAATGAACTGGGGATGTATAGCTCTACTGTTTTTATTTAAAGCCCAAATTATTCTTCTAATCACTTCTTACAGAGCATTAGGCACATTATTTAACCCAGCTGTGCCCATTTCCTCATCTATAAAATGAAGATAATAACATAAATCTATCACTGGATTAAGGTGAAATGTACAGGTATTTAGTGAGCTCTGTGCAAGTTATAGCAGCTGTTTCTAGTTCATTTGGGTTGTTTGGGTTTTTTTCCTAAGAGAAATGTATGCACCAAAATAGTTATATTCTGGTACCAAAGTTTATATCCTCATGTTTGGATGGTGTCATACACATAAAACAAAATGATGTAATTTGAACAATATTGGGGGAAGCTACTCTAACTTAACACTTTTCAATTTAAAAGATGAGGTGCGTCTCCCTGGTGACCTAGGGGTTAGGTCTCAGCACTATCACATCTGTTGCCTGAGTTTGATCCCCAGCCAGGGAACTAACTCACATATGGTGCAGTGGACCCCTCCTGCCTTGCCCTCTGCTCCCCTTAGCAGTGTATTTTAGTAAATTCAGTAAAACCTGTTATTTCCCCACTGTGTCTCTGAGGAATCTGCTCACTTCCCTGTACCTCTGGCCTACATTCCAGTTCTTCTGTGCAAAAATAGATGAGTTAATATATAGGATGTGAGTATTGTTTGAAAAATATATGACAAAAGCAAAGGAAATAATCACAAGTTCCACAATTCCTGTTAACACTGGAGTTTTTTTCTCCCTTATAACAGAGTGAAGACCTAGACATTAATAAGCCTTTTTTTATATAAGCTTTATTTCTGAAACAAAGTGTTAAAGAATAACTGAGATAAATGGTTAAAGATATACAGAGGCCCTTTTGGTTTGCTTAAAAGGGTGTCTATTGAACATCTTAATCAGAAAACACGAGTGTAGTGGGTACCATGCTAGCAGGACATGGGAGACAATGATGAGTAAGATAATTGCTTTCTAATGCATAGCAAGCACATGTAAACAACCATAGTTCATTGTGATAAGTCTCAGAAGTTAGCAAAGTTGAAAAGTGAGATCAAGAGTAAATAATAGTCACAGCACATAAAAGAAAGTGAAGGTACTTCTCTCACCAAAGCTTGATGAAGAGTAGGCATATAGAGAAAGAATGGAAGAAATGAAAGTTTCCCTTGAAGCCTGATTTCCTCCCTACAAGAGGTGATGTGTTCTGTCCCTAGGGATCCTAACCCTTGGTATTTTCTATGTTAAAATGTTAGACTATGGGAAGAAAGGTAGCATGTTTCCCTTAATTGTCTGCCTAGATACACTATGTACATGTTAAAGTTCCTAAATGATACCCAAGGTTTGCGACCTTCCAATAGGATATGATGTTACATTACATATTCTTTGCTCTTTTGTCAAAGATTAGTTATCCATAGATCGGTGGATTTATTTCTCAGTTTTCTGTTTGATTCCATAATCCATGTCTTTTCTTTGTTCCAGTACCATACTGTTTTCATTATTATGGCTTTGTGGTATAGCTTGAAGTCAGGGTATGTGATATCTTTGTTCTCCTTTTTTAGTTAGTTGAAGCTTTGTCTATTTGAGGTTTTTGTGGTTCCACATGAATTTCATCAATATTATTTCTTTGAAGAATATCATTGACATTTTTATCAGAATAGCATTGAATCTGTAAATTGATTTTGGTAGGATGGCCATTTTGATAACATCAATTCTTCCAATACATACAATTCAACTACTAGGAATCTACCTAAAGGACACAAAAACATTCGTTCAAAAAAATACCTGCACCCCTATGTTTATTGCAGCACTGTTCACAATAGGTTAAGATATGTAAAGAACCCAAATGTCTTGAAATAGATGATTGGATCAAGAAGATATGATACATACACACAGTGGAATTCAGCAATCAAAAAGATAAACATAACATTTACAGCAACATGGATGGAGCTTGAAGAGATCATGCTCAGTGAAATAAGCCAGAAGGAAAAAGAAAAATATCAACTGGCTTCATGTATAAGAGGACTATAAAAGAATGAAATGAGGGATCAGGAAAATATTAACAAGACAACTAGCAGGCAACCATAAATAAGCAGCTTAAGAGGGAAAGGGAGGAAGAGATCAAAATGGGAGAAAAAAGCACACAGGACTGGTGATGGTGAACTGGTTCACAGGGGAATTTTATGGGGAATACACAATATTAGATCTAACTTTTAAGTGGAGCTTTCAGATATGCCGGTAAAAGCTAATTATTCTTGCATGTTGTGTGTTAAGTCCTTTGTATCAAATAACATTCCTTTGAGTCCAGTACTGCTATTGCTAGTTTGTAAAGAGGTAAGCAAATCCACAAGGTCATATAACTGGGAAGAGCAGAGTTGAAACAACTGACCATATATCACACGAGGAGTTTGTGACTAAGTGTTGAAGCATTTGAAATACCGTTTTGAGAATCACAAAAGCACTGTACAAATTAAATAGGCATGTTGAAATTATGCTGAAAATATATATAACTTTAAACCTGTAGTGTTTTTCTAAAAGGACTCACCAGGCTCTGGAGAGTAAATGATTCATCATGGTTTACCTCCCTAGTCCAATTTTTTACATAGATAAATGTCCTTTTCCTGTATTGTCCAGTCCACTTAGAGCTACAAATCAATTTTTGTGTTGAAGCCCATGTAATCAGAAAAATGGAATCTTCCCTAAATGTACTTAAAGCAGAACATAAAATGGAAGCCAGATCAGAAAAAGATGAAAGCCATGACCTTGAAGACTTCCTGTCTTTTGTGAAGTTCAGGAAAATAGAAAATTCCCCACTGTTAACATTTAAAAAACAACAAAGGAGCATTTTGTTGCAGAAGCATAGATGAAATCACAGAAGTCTTGATTATGAAGGTGGATTGTATGCACCATTCTGTCCAATAATCTCACAGCACCACTGACCAGTGCTGTTACTGTCAAGTTAACATTCTCACAGTTTGGATGACAATGTTTTATTTTTTAAACATTTCCAATACTTTCCGTAGAGTACATAGTAGAGGCTGCCTAGTGACCCACAGATGTGGTGTCAGCTGGCTGCTGTTCTTCCAGGTTAGCCTGCTTTGTGTCTGGGACACATGGACCTATGTGCCCCAAAATGGTTTTACATAGTCGTCATATCACTTGGTGAAATGAGGTTCACATGACAATCTCAGGAAGAGTGTAAAATACCCTAATTTTATTGTTCATTTGTCATGTTACTTCAATTCTAAAATGTATGTTTCACACTTCATTTCTGAAATGTGTTCAATTTCACAATTTTTGCTTTTGCAAAACTGACATCTTAAAAAAATCAGTGACATTTTAGAATTGAAGAAATACGGTATTTTCCAGTGGTTCATTTCCCATAATTTTCTAAGTTTGTTTTCCTGTAAGAACATGTATTTGAAGGATTATCTTTTGATAATTGGCTGAGACAACTTTTACTGATGACTCAGGACAAACAACATAGACCCACCCAGTTATGTAGGTCTTATAGGTTGAGTAGACAGATTTCTCAGCAATGAGGAATGATTTCCAAACAGGGATACCAATGGAAATTAAAAGAGAAACTATTTGTGGTTTGGTCTAATCTGTTCATAAGAAAAGTAAGGGATTTAATAGTTTTGTTCAGTTTTGTACTCCTTGAAGGAATTGACTCAAGCATCAACTGTGGGGAGAAACAAAAATGAATGAGATCCCATCTCCCTGGCTGGAAATACATCAGTCTCTTAAGATAATCCCCTATGGGCAGGGGTGATGGAGAGAGCCCAGAGACATCTAATGGTGAGAGAAGACCACTAGCCCTGTTGACCTTTGAACACAGCATGCTGGAAACAGAAGTCCTTACTGTAGGGGAGTTAGTGCCAGAACACCACAATGTTAGTCTTCACGAGTCACTCTTAAGAGATCAAGTCAATAGAAGTTTATTAAGTAGTCTGTGAGGTGCCATGTATTTAAAAACAATAGCAATGTGTTACTAGAGGTAAGTACAAAGTCATAATTACCAGAAACAACAAAAATATCTTAGACTGCCATAGATCACAGAGAAATGAGACAGTGCACCATCGATCTGCAGGAATGTGTGTCCTCTATATGCACCAGCACAGAGAGTCACTGAGGGGGCTCCATTTTCAGTGGGAAGGGGGGTTGTCTGGGGCTGCCCCTGTGTGCACCATCCTGTGCATCCTTACCTACTTTGCAGAGAACCTGACCTTCACTACCCACCACTAAATCTATTTGTGCCACTGCTGTGTGTTCATAGTCAATATAGCACCCTTCCCATACTGGGGGGGGGGAAAGATGAGAGGCCAGTCCCCAGTCTCATGTAAGCAGAAGAGTCATTTGAAAAGAAGTTGGAGAAATAACAAGATATTCACTGTTAATTTTGGAGAAAAGAAAAAATGAGTGCTGGGTAGCAAAATGCAGTATTTGATATCTTTTTTAAATAGAGCTGCTTCTGGGTAATTGTAAGTATAATGAGGAGAAAGTACATCAACATGCTTTAAAAAGAAACTTCTGGGCCCTCCCTGGTGGCGCAGCAGGTTAAAACACAGCACTAAGAAGCTAAAGCCACTTCAGCATGAGTTCAATCCCTGCTCTGGAGGTTCAATCCACATGGCGTTGCAGCCCTCTCCTGACCCGCCTGCTGCTCCCCTCAGCAGTATACTTCATCAGTCGGCCTGTTCTGCTCCCCACTCTGTCTCTGGTGAAGCCTCTCACAGCCCCTGTACATCTAGCCTGTACCCTAGTTCTGTGTGTATTAATAAATATTTTTTAAAAACTTCTAGATTCAGTAACTTAGTAAGCAGACTGGAGAAAGCACCACATCTCACTACCCTGTGGTCTCTTTCCCAAAGCATCTCCAAGTGAAACTGGAACCAGAGAATATCAAGGCCCACGAACCCTGGCCTGTTGTGTCAGCAATGACATCAGGGTTAAAGTTCACCATGACTGCAGTGCTCTGGCACTACCTCACACCTCTGCCCTGTCCTGCTGGTGCTAGATGTAGGAGTGAGACTATGAAAAAATGGCAACTCTATTCTGGGAAACCTGCTGCCACGCCTGCAAGGCATAGAGCAGACACCAATAAGCAGGAACCATCCCAACCCTGCCTGTGGTGAACAGTTTTGAGAGCTGCAAAGTCTGGAAACCTTGGCCTTCCCTTGCCTCCCTATTGCCATCTCTTACTTGTGGACTTGTCCATCACCTTCTCCATCAAGATGTGAATGGGGTGCAAGAGGTTAAGTCTCAGCACCATGAAGCAATCTACAGCTACACAGCATGAGTTTGATCTCTGGCCAGGAAGCTGACCCACACAGCACAGCAGACCTCTCCTGTCTTGGCTGCTGCTCCCCGCAGCAGTGTATTTCAGTAGATCTGCCTGTCCTGCTCCCCGAGTCTGGTGAATCCTCTCACCTCTATGCACCTCTGGCCTAGACCCCAGCTTTTGAATGCATAAAGAAATAAATCTTAAAAAAAAAAAAAGTGAATGGATCTGGTGTTGATCTGTTAGTCCCTACTGTCAGTGTGGTATATCTCCTTTCCCCAAAATTGTGTCAAGAAAGAGTCATTGCATTAAATAAACATCACACAGCCTTGCCCATAACAGGGAGATTGGTAACTTTTAGATAGTCTGCTGTTGAGAAAGAGAAAGCCATGCATCCCACTTCTAGCAATTGACCACCTAATGCTACAAAAATTTTACTTTCATATAAATACCACACATTATTAGCATTCACTCTCAACAAAAGGAGCAATCAGTTCCTCTCCAGTTTCAGTTGATGTTTTACTGAGGAATAGAAAAATTAAGCTACAGCGAAATTGAGCACCTTGTACAGCATCATACGTGACTCGAAAACCTGTTTTTAGTAAGTGTAAAGGAAGGAGACAGAAATAAAAAATGAAGTGCCTGAGTCCCCTGCCCCAGACTAAAACCACAGAGTGGGTATGAGGCCATGGGAGTTAAAAAAAACAAGAGCCCAGAGAGAGAGTGTAACGAAGATGGCCAAAAGGCTGAAATGGTCACAGAACAAAAATAACACCTTCTAGTCTCCCCAGGTCTTTGTGTCCTGGAGGGAAAGGTGGCATTCTGGCATCTCCCCCATGTAGCAGCACACAACAGGGTAGCCCACATGGCAAGGCGGGAGAACCACGGCCACCATAGCTGTGGGTAGACAGCCCCACCAAGGGGAGGGAGACGTGAACGACAGCATCAGTGGAAACACAGGAGCCAGACCGGGTGGAAGTGGGAGGGGTAAACCCCAGATTTGCCAGCCTTGATCCCAGCAGCAGAAAACTCAGAGATAGGCAGAACTGGTGGTTTGGAGGCTGATGAGGAAGTTCAAATTAGAGGAAGCTACAGGGTTTTTCTGTACAATTTAGGAGTGGCATGTAAGATAACCATCAACATTAGAGGTTATGTCAACTGCTCGTGAGCTCTCACCAACCAACCTCAGGAAAGAACCAGAGCTTTGGGAACAGAACTGATTCAAGTGAGAGGTTCCCGTGCCATTTTGGTGAAGGGAAGGAAAGTTTCATTTCCCCTTGCAGCAAGATTGGACATCAATTGCCTGCCTCTACGAGGTGCAGGGAGAATTAAATAAGACTATGGAAGGATCAGAATCATATCTAGTCCATTCCTATGTTATAAGCTGATGTGCAATTTGCTAGACAAATAAGGGACTCACTGTCATTTCTGATCATTTGCAGGGTCCACAATGAGTGGAGAAAGAGTGTGGTGGCCAGCAATGAAATACAAGACTCGGGCCAAAAATGTTCTCAGCACCAAGAATGGGAATGTTTCTGGCATTTGCCTAGTTGATGTTAAAATCACAAATTTGACTCAAAAATGTTTTCTTCCTTGTCAATTCACCTGCATGTTAGTTGTAGCTCAGGAGCTTTTTTTCTCCACTACAATGCCAAGTTTTCAAAACCATCATTGGAAATTATTCAAATTTGATTATTTTTTATACCCAAACAGCATATACTTAAAACCAATAGGTGTTCCTCTTAAAATGCTTAAAATAATTCTCACCTCTCAACATGAGCCTTCAAATATTCCAAAGAGCCAGAGGTGTTTCTTCTTTTTTTAAAGTAAGATGTTGAGGGCTATCTTTGATATGTTAAAAAAGCAAGTGAAAGTCTGTGAACAGTGATATTCTCAGGGGATAGGGCTTTGGGGTAACACTTCTACTTTATACCCTATGTTATTTAAATCAGTGCAACTATGGATTTCTTCAGGAAGTTTTTCATAATTCAGCACCTTAATCTATTCTTCCCATTAAACATATGGACCCAGGAACACCTGCCAAACTGTGAACTGTACGTGTGAGTGTGTCAGAACAGGGCCCCTGAGACAGACATTCTTCCTGCTCTAGGCCAAGCTGTGCTCTGTTCTTTAAGGAGGAAAAAAAAAAAAAAAAAAAACTGTGTTAAGAACTTAACATCTATTTCTGACTCTATGGCTGAGTGGCAAAAGCCAGAAACCTTGGAAGGAGGACATATTTGAAGATGAGCAAGGCGGATTCTCACACAGCTGTAAAGGAGGTGGTTACACCAAGACCCACATGGTGTCTTAGAGAGTGATGAAATGGAAGGATCCTTCAGGAATAGGATCAGCCTGAGCAGAGACATGGACAAGGGGGACAACTTACAAGGTAACCATGAGGAAGAGTCTGGCTTGCCAGACCAACCCATGTCCAGGCTTTACTGGACAGTGGGTTCAGAGGAATCTCTCTCCACCTGCACAGGAGTTTCTGATTTCTGCAGTATTGTAGAGAAATTTAGCTCCGTGTTAAGCTGTGGCTTAGTCACCTTTGCCAGGTAGGTTGTTCTTTTCCCCTCTCATCATGTTTTGCGAAAAGCAAAAATGAGCCATCCCCTTGCAAAGGGTACCCTTTGCAGTAGGTAGAAGGTGAGTGCTAGTCAAAGTCTTGCTGTTGCCAGGGAACTCAGTGATGGTACCCTAAATGAACCCCAAGAAAAGTAAAATATTGGTGTTGTCCTTAACATGGACCATGGATATAACCCTAATCTCAGGAAACAGCTTTAAGAAATTGTGCTCAGTTCATAGTCCTTTAACATACAATCTAAGTAGCAAAGGCACACAGACCTATGAATGTAATCTCAAGATAAGTCTCACCTTCTTCCTGGTGATCCATCCAAAATTGGCCAAACCTAAGTCTCTCCTGGGTCAGAAGTTGCCTCTGAGAGACTCCCTGCTCTTCCCGACCACACCCTCTGCTGTGACCACTGCCTGATAAACTCTTCAATTGTCCTGACACACCCTCTGTCATGGCCACTGCCCATGCAGCACAGCCACAAGGATTCAAGGCATAGTCCAAAAAGAGAACCAGGCTGGGACTGGGCAGATGGCTGCGGTAGCCTCGTATCTAGTCCTTAAGTACAGTGGCCTCCAGTTTCTTTATGTGGACTAGTTTATAGTTTTTGTAAAGACCTTTAAAAGTCTTGTAAAGGCTGCCTGTCAAAATTAACATGCATAGGCCATGGACTCACTCATCATGCTGTCTGAGCACATGGTCTTCATTGCCCCTAGTCTCGAGCAAGAAAGGCGGGCCAATGAGGTACACCCTCTGCTGCTTTCAGGCAGCAGAGAATAGCTGAAATGGCTACTGGGATCCTGGGAAATCCTGGAGATTTGAACAAGATGCTGGTATCTTCCCACATGCCCTGCAAGGCTGAGAACCAGAGTCAATTCCCTGATTAGAAAGACACACTTAATAAGGCAAAAAGCAAAGCTAAACACAAAGGTAAAATCCCACAACAGCCCCAGGAAGCCAGGCACAGTGTCTTCTGTGTCCTAGTGCTAAGCACGTGGCACACATACACGAGATGGTGACCCCAACCTCCTGCGCTCATCAGCAGACTCTCCCCCATGGTTACCATATAGGGTGCATAATCCATGTCTTTTCTCAGGCGGAGCCTGTTCCTGTCCTAGATACCCGTTAGGTCCAGCTGTAGCCGACCTCCTTAACAGTTACATGAGATTCCCCTTGTTGCCTATGGCTGCTCACACATGTCCTCCTTATGGTGAGAGGCAGTACTGTGCCCATTTCACAGATGGGAGAAGACTCAAAACACTCAGTGGCAAGTTCAAGGTCACACTGCTGATATGTGGCAGGGTAGGGGCTCAAGACCAGGTTGCTTGATTTCAGGCCCTATGTTCCTTCATTTTACCCAATGGTTGAGGCTCTTCTCCCTGCCATATCAAAGGACTAAGCAGGAAGATCCATATTTGATGGAATTATTACTGACACTAAAAGTTAACGTTCAACTTAAAAGTTAACGTCCCTGCTCTGACCACTGAAGCCAATGCTAGGAGCTCCCGGGCTGGGCATTTACAGCTCCCCATGTTACAGTTCACCAACCAAATGCCCTCAACTTCTTGAAAAGCTGGTTTTTTTTTTCCCCCCTCTTGGGAGGGGCTGACTCTTCCCTTTATAAAAAATCCAAGGTTATTGGTGCCCTGCCTATCAGGAAATGCCTCTCTCTATAAATACTCTATAAATGTCCAAGGTGGCCACAAAGGAGGACTTGTGCAAACAGCTGCCTCCCAGGACGTGAGATTCCAATCCAGTCACAATGAGACTTCTAGTGCTCTCGAGCCTGCTCTGCATCTTGCTTCTCTGCCTCTCCATCTTCTCCGCCGAAGGTAGGGCAAGTCCCAGGGATGCAGTCTCTGAGCTGAGATTTCAGAATCTGGCTACCAGGAGATGGTGCCAGGCAGGCCCTATAGGCAGCTCTGAGCCCTGGAAAGAGGGGTTCTGATTCCTGTAGCTATAGAGACCTGAGCTGTCTCTGTGTAAATTTAGCTGTTTCAGTGGCAGCACAAAGGGTACCTAAAGGGTTTGAAACCCCACGAGCCACAGCTCCCCCATAAACACTCACAGAAGTGAGAGAGGTGTTCTTACCCTGAGAACATACAACCTCCCTGCATGTCTCTAAGTTGCAGCCAGATAGACATTTGGAGCCACCCTGTGGTGCTTGTGTCATGCTTGGAACACAGTACATATGTGTTGGGTGATGGATAAATTAATCAGTAGATTGTTTGAGCCTCAAAGTCTCCAAATCTCAAGCCCAGTGAATATCATCATGGCATGGGATGAGAATGTGCATGGGGGTGGAAGGGAATGGGTGGCAGAGATATTTGTGTGTGTTTAGGAGTGAGGGAGATAGTCCTTGAAACTCACTTTTCTTTCTTGATTCATATAGTTGCATACTTTGAGATTTTTCTCTTGCCTAACCTTCAAGAAGCTGCCAACTTTTATTTTTTGTTTTAGCAGTTATGGTTATTTTACTATTTATTGGAATTGGGGATATAGAAATAGACATAGAGGTGGAGACCCCAATCATTTAATTGCCATGTTCAACACTTTGTTTCCTTTTTTCAGTATTATCCCCAAGCATTTTTTAATAATTGATAATTTTTATAACCTTTATATGTGTTCAATGTGGTATCTTTTCAAATGATTGGATTATTATAATCACCAAAAGTACTTATGACCAAAATTATTGTTACTGCAATGATCTCTGAACAATGGGATTACAGAAAGTATTTTTTTCCTAGAATTTCCAGAATGAACACTGCTGCACATATAATATGGAAAAGACTCACTAAAATTTCTCAGAGAAATTTTACAGTCCATAGCAATGCAGTTGAGCAGATCTCTCTTTCAAACATGTCCAAGGTCACAATGTCAGAGGTTGAATGCCTTTCCCCATAAAATATCCTATACATCGAGGAGTGTCTCTGGCAGATTCTCCAGAGTGGTTTATCTGACTCATATTTTTAGTTTCACTTTGCCGTTGAGTGAATGTGTTATGAGAAATTTACATGCTTAGACATTTAGAGGGTTCACAGCTTTGCACTATTTAAAGTATGTGATAAAAAGCACATGTATACAAAAAACATTTCCTATGTTTAGGATTAATTTGTGAGGCTAGACTGCCAAGAGAAGATTTACTATGTCAGGACAGTCACTTCCAAGTTGTGGTGCTGAACTGTTTCTCGGGCAGGAACATAAGTTTGGAATATTCTGGGGACATTCTCTCCCCACACTGACTTTCTTATTTCTGAAAAATATACCACTCTTTCTCTGGGCCCTCCTGTAGCCTAGTGCTTCCTGATTTCCCCCTGAGTAAATATTTCTGAATCCTGAGCCTTGGAAGTTAGAGTTCACACAAGTCTTTTCTGCACACCCCCACACCCTGGTTTCCCTGGTCAGACTAAGAGAGGATCTCTGTCCCTTTGTATCTGCCTCCAGGAAGAAAACATCCCAGGCTTCTTGCCAAGTCCTGGAAAGGCAAGTTCTGCTGTTCCCAAGCTCCTGGCGCTGGCCTGCCAGTCCAGAAAGGTAAGCTGCACCCTGCCCAAAAGACAAGGAGGGAGCTGGGGAGAGTTTCCTCAGGGCCTGCCTGTGCGCTGAGGGGCCACAGATGTTCTCTCAGCCTTTCAACGGGAAACTGACCCTTTCCCAAAACTGAATACATTCTGTCAAAGAAAAGAACAAGGTGCAACTGGAAAATAACATAGGGAACACCCTTACCCAGGCTGGGAGGCATCAGAGCAGATCTTCAGGAAGAAAGGCCAGAGCTGGGAGGGGAAGGTACTTGATGGAAGCAGCAGGGGGGAGGGCACAAATGGTGGGGAAGGAGCAGTGTCAGGGTGCAGAGGTGCTCTTGGGAGCTATGAAGCAAGGCAGGGCCAGTCTCATGAACTGGCACATGAGGTAGGGAGGGGCGGATCTGCAGTGGATGGGGCACACATGGCCAGAGATTCCAGAGGTATGGGCAGTCAGCACCCATCCCAGATGCCAGACTAACAGCACAAAGCCATGCCAGCATGACGCCTGGCCCATGTGCCCTGCTCACTAGGCTATGTAACAGGGCTGGGGCACCCAGCAGTGAGGGGGATGATTAGGGGGGGCTACAGGCACTCAGGTCCCAGTATTGGGTTTCTGGCTAGGCTTTTACATGGGAGCTGCTTCCTGATGTATGAGATTCAGATGCTGGGACATTTTGTCAGCCTTTGGTAGGAGGGTCCTAGACCCTGGAGCAGGCAGAGCCTTCAAGGGAAAGCAACAGAACCAAAACCAGCCAGGTATGACACAACCCAGGAATCTTGCTCCCTCCCCCTGACACTCCCCTCAGCTCTCTGTGGGGGTCTGAGAAGGTCCCAATGCTGCTGACTCCTTTGGGGCTGTGGCCCAGGAGCCCATGGCCAGAGTCAGAGGCTCCAAATCTTCCCCAGCTCCCAAAAGTCCTGTGTACAGAGTGGGAGCTTGGGTGTGAACGAAAGGGAGGGCTGTGGGAGTCTTCGCGGCTCATTCTCAGGCCACTTCTCTACAAAGCTGACAGCCCCTCCTTCCAACTAGCATCACACCCAGCTGCAGCAGGGTAAAAATAACCAGTTCTCACACATTGAACCTGCTGTGAGTCACCTGCTCCAGCAAGGTGGAGGGTGAGCGGACTGATGGCAGCTCTGTGCTCCAGCCCCATCTGACTGAGGGAAGTGTCCCCATGAAATCAATAAGGCAAAGTCTAAGGAGGAGGGAAGTGAGTCCCACCCCACGAAGGAGAGAGAACACACTCAAGACCTCCTCATTCTCCCACTCCTCCCTGGGGTGAGTTTGCTCAGAGGCAGCAAGGAAAAGAGATGTTCAGAAAGTGCACCACACACATGCATGCACAATTCATAGGAAATACAGCCAGGTGAGCTCCTTGTGCACAGGACAAGGGCAGCCACTTGCTCTTCAGGAGAGCAGTCTAGGTACAGGGTTCCTATGTAGAATTTGGATTTCCTTCAGTATATGTTTCCTTCATATATGTTTTTAATTCAATTGCAGGAGTTGGCAATCTCATGCAATCTCATTTACATCTTCCAACCACCTAGGGAATCATTGATACCCTTTAACAGATTGGGAAACTGAGTCTCAGGGACTCTGAGGCAGAGCCAGGCTCCCGGATCTATCCACATTCTCTCCACAATAACAAATTGCCTCGTCCAGAGAGAGCAAGTTTCCTGCAGTGAGTAGGAAGTCATACAGGTGCCCAAGTGGGACAGCAGACTTCCCAGAAGGAAAGCACCTCTGGGTTGGCATCTCAGCTCGCTGCTGCCAACTCTGTGTCCTTGAGCCCATCACTCAGCAACGCTAAGCCTCAGGGTCCTCAATAGTGGAGGCGATGATTTGCCCTAACTCATCCAGCTATGGGGAGGAGTCAGTGGGGTCCTGACTGGCCCTGAGTACCCAGTAAACTGCCCTACTGTCTCTGTCTCAGGAGAGGACGTCTGGGGGCAGCTGAAGCAGAAGGCATTTTCCACTCTGAAAACCAAAGCCCAAACTTACTTGCCCAGGTTGGATGGTCCCGCCCACCAGATACTGGGGATCTCTTCGTGCATGCTGTGTAATCAACAGCAGGGCAGCTGGATGTGCCAGGCTCTGGGAATTCGGCCTCTGTACTCATGGTTCATTGACACAGACAACTGTTAGGATACCTGTTTGTTGAAAGAGAAAATAACTTTAAAGGTTGCCCTGAGGAGGCTCTGAGCTGAAAACACCCACTTTGACACATGCGAGTATACAGATACTGACTACTCCTCAATCCGAAGTGTCTTCCCTGAGTGCCATTTTATGTGTATGTGCCATTTGTGAATGGGGGTGGCAGACTTGGAACTCTGGATCAGTTCAACAAAACCTTCTCCTAAAGTCAATGTGCTGAGTATGTTGAGTAGCCAATTTGCTGAGTTTACTACACTTACCAATATATTTTCTCTAAGGCGTTTGAGAAATTTGCAGTACTCTTTAGAGCAGTATTATTGTAGTAGTAATTTTGCTAAAGACATGGTCAATTTACTGACTTTTTAGCTTTTGAGGGGCATCAGCACTGGCCTCCAGCCTGGGGGAGAACAAGTCTGGGGTCTGAGGGCCCACCAGCTGGGGTGATACAGAACCTGGGGTCTGTCAGACTACCTTTCTTCCTTGTGTCCTTAATCTGTAGTGAGAAAGTTTCTGGGAGAAATCAGGGTGGTCTCAGAGACAGTCCCTGGAGTCTTACAGTGCACCTGCCCATCAGACTGGGGGCCTAAAAACTCCTGCCACTGACCCTGCTTTGAAGTCAAGCAAAATGACTTGACCCACTGTAGGAGACAAGGGAAAGGGGGCCTAGAGATTGCCCCATCCCAACCCCAGCATGGGGTTGTCTCCATCTTCAGAAAGGGCCCAGACTATAGGGACAAAGGTTACCCATTGAGGACCACTGGTGTGATGACTTGAAGGTTTGGGAAACTGAGTGGTATGAGGGTGTGAGGAAGAGTCCAGTACAAAGGACCCTGGAAGGGAAGAAGTGGAGAGGGCACCCACCCATCCTGCACAGTCAACTAATCAGCGGGTCTCAGGTCAATCATTATACCCCTTGTAATAATAACTGTTAGCCAAAGCTACATCACACCCAACTTGCTGTCCCAAGACATTAAGTATTTATCATTTTCCATGAATAGACAGGTCAGGTGGGCAGTTCTAGTCTTGGCTGTATTCATTTGTTCTTGAAGGTTGGTTAGGCAGCTCTGCTGACCTTGGCGGGTTATCTCACCTTTGAGAGGTTAAGTTTAAGATGGTCTAATTTGAGCTCTTTCCACATGGTCTCTCAGCCATTAACAGGCTAGTCTAGGCTTGTTCACATGTAGGCTACCATTTTTACATGAGTGGAAGTACATAGGCCTCTTGGGGCATCAGAACTGGCCAGCAATCATCTCTGCTGCATTCTGTTTACAAAGCAAGCAGTGAGACCAGCCCAGATGTAAGGATAAACACCACAGAGAAGATACAAAGTCACATTGCAAAGGATGGAGAACTGCAACTAAATTTCCAATCAATCAACCACAGATTGATATAAAAACACAATTTTGTATATTGTAGGAGCAAAAGAAGATTGTCATGGGTTCTGAGGGAGGGAACAGGGGGAATAAAGAGGGAGCAGTGGAAAGGAAGTCATGAGCCTCCATCATCAGCACTTGTGGAAAATGTTCAGAATTTGACATTAATAGAAGAGTAGGTGAAACTGTACATAACTATGATTATCACCATGGGTAAATGAAAGACCTTTTTTTTTTTTTAAAAGATTTATTTATTTATTCATACAGAACTGGGGTACAGGCCAGAGGCTCAGGGGCGGTGAGAGGCTTCACCAGAGACAGAGTGGGGAGCAGAACAGGCAGATCCACGAAGTACACTGCTGAGGGAAGCAGCGGGCGGGTCAGGAGAGGTCTGGCTCGCCATGTGGTCTCCTCTGGGGCAGGAGGCAGGCGGGAATCGAACTCATGCGTAAGTGGCTTCAGATTCTCAGTGCTGTGCTTTAACCCGCTGCGCCACCAGGGAGGGCCGAAAGACCTTTTAATTAAGAGGGAAAAGAGAAAGCAAATAAACCCCACCAATGTGAGTCCTTATATACAATTAAGACATGAAACTATAGCTCAATTATAACAATATTTTTGTAAAGCTGGTGATAATGTAGCAATTACTATGCAGCATACATCTGTAATTTATTTAGTCTTCACAGTAACCCTGAGAGTTATATACTTGTACTAGACTTGTTTTTTTAATAGAAGGGGGGCCAAAGCACAGACAGGTTAAGCAACCTGTTGAAGGTCACACAAGTGCTTGCTGAACTACTTTATTTAAAAAAAAAAAGAAGCATATTTCTTTGCCTTGCTATACATCTTCATAATCACAGGTTTTTATCAACATGAGTCTTCCCTGTCATCATGATATACCATTTCTCTGCCATAGGATATGCAAATTTTTCCCCAAAATTGTTTTTTCTGCTATTAAAAACACATAAAAAATAGCCTGATGCATATAGCTTTTTCTTTCTTGAGGATTATTCCTCTCAGAAATGAGACTGGCTTGTCTAAAGAGATGCAGACACAGTTTTGAGACACAAATAGCCTAATACACAAAGGCTGGGAAGAGAAAGCCCCAGAGGCCAGGGGCTGCAGAGCTGTAAACTGACCTTCCCACTACGCATCAGCAATGGGCCTCTGGTCCTTCAGCTCACATGGACTCTGTTTAGGAGATAAACTGCCTGCTCTCCCTCTTCTTCCAGTAAATTAGATTTCTCTCCGATGGGACTGAAATAGCCTAGACTGGACTTATTTACCATGAAAGAACTCTTTGGGTCTCCATGGGCTTCTGGAAAGCCTCCAGGAAGGAGGATAAGGTTAGATTCTTGCTTTTGATTTGAAAAGGAATCTCCCTAAATGTAGGTTTTTGACCTCCATGGAACATGGCTATCGTCATAAGGAACCATTGCTATTTATATCTTCATTAATTGAAATTAATTAATTAAGTAATTGAAAATAATACTTGTTTTTCCTTTCCCCTCACCCCAACTCTCTGCCTCTTGCCTGGTCTCTGGCCTGTCCCCCTTATCTGCCCATCTCTCCTTCCCAGGACACAGGGTGAAGATGTGCAAACCTTGCAAGTCAAAGTCAAGCTCTCCTTTTTGGGTGGTGCCCGGGGCACTCCCACAAGTATAATGTTCACGAAGCAAGGACCTGAGACCCTCATACCCAGTGGCAGAGGGACCCAGAATTCTTGCACTGCCCTAGATTCTTCCCTCAAGTTTGGGACAGGTGGCAGAGATACCATGGACTCTGACCCAAGGAAACTCTGCCCATGATCCTGGAGCCTCTTCTCTTAAAGACACCACATTTCTTACCTGCCAAGATGGATTTGTCTGCTCACACTGCCTTTCAAAAACTTGAACCAGAATCTTCTGAACACCATAACACAGATTCTCAGGTGAAAACTCCAGCATTTTGTTCTTGCTGTGTGATCCTGGAGAAATAACTTATCCCCTCTTAGTTCATCTTGGCTTCAGAGATGTAAAATCTAGCAGCAAAAAAATGTCTAGGGAAGTCCCTTGAATCACTGGTGCCAATGGATTCCAGTTATCCTTTTTTAATTTTTATGGCAGTGTGCTGCATTGTTGCGGGGATTCATCTCAGGCAACAAGGACCCTAGGAAAGTTCTGGAACCTCTAATCTTAGTCCCAGTATTGCCACCAACCTTCAGATTTATCTTGAACTGGGACCAGATCATTTGACATCAGTCCCCACATGACCCCTCCAATGGTGAGAGCCAAGATTCCACCATGACTTGTGACAACTATAAATCTAGAGACTTCTAAGCTTGCTAGGTGCAGAGAATCAGGCACCCAAGAGCAGCTGGCAAGCCAGGATTGCAGAGGTGTAGCTGACTAACCTGCTTTGAAGGCCCCTGAATGAACCCTTTTCTAACTTTGTGATGCCAATTGCTAAGCAAACAATAAATGCACAAATAAAATACATGCATTTTCTTTAATAAAATACTCGTCTGAGTAAGTCTATGACAAGCCTGAGCCACAGCACTCTGAAAATGAAGCCTCTCATCTGGCCTCCCCTTCACCAAAGCACCATTTAACAAGGAGAAGGGGGATAATGAATAGTGACTATAGTAAGGCATCTTGGTCCAACATGCCAGGACTCAAGTTCCAGCCCTGTCCAGATTTTCTGTGGGACCCAGGCAAGTTCGTTCCCACTTTGATAAAGCAGAGATTATAGGATGTATGGAGGGTTGACATGAGGCTCCAGCACATGAAAAGACGTAAAGTGCTCACCCTGGCACTCCCTTGATTCAAGGGAGACCCTGTCTTCCCTCCTCCTCATGGGGGGTGTTTGCTCACAGGGAACACAGAGCTGCAGAGCTGTGGCTCAGAGCAGACAGATGGCCCAGGGTCTAAGAGCCTTAGCTCTCAGTATAACTCCCTTCTAATCTAATCCTTCCAGCAAGGTGAGAAGCCCCCTCCCCACATCATCTGCAGTTGTCTGAGCAGGCCAGGTACATCAGATGATGGCTGACAAGAAGAGAATCCCTTTTTGGATCTCTGGGCAGGGCTGTCCTGGAGAAGGCGGGAGTACGCCTTACCTTTTTGCAGGTAGCACCTTACACATCCCTTTCAAAAGCTCCATTCATGGGCCAACTCACTTACTCCTTCATTCCTGGGATTGCAGGATTCTACGACCAGAGAGAAACAACATATCCTTGAGTCTGAGAGATGATCTTGCTCCACAAAATTGTGAGCACTGAGACAAGAACAGAGGTGGGGTAGGAGAGAGGTGATATAAAGGACTGACACTTTACCTGAGCTAGGGGAGAGTCCCAGGTAGAAAGGGGTATGTGTGTGCGTGCACACGTGTGTGCACATGCGCTTGTGTGCTCCCATGTGTGCGTGCATGCATGTTAGGGTAAGATGGGAACTCAACAAGGGCCAGGCAGGAAGATTTGAGTGTGTGAAAATTAAGGAACTAGACAGCAATATCAGGGGAAGTAAAAGATTCATGATGGCATGGTGGATCCTAGAAGTATCTAGAATGTCATCAGGAGTTGGAAGTTCATCCTGAGGACAATGATGACCCAGAGATATTTGCAAGCAGGAGGGTGCAGGTAGAGAGCACCTCTAGAAGGATGAGGACTGGGCTGAAACTAAGGCAGAACAGTGCTTGAGGCACCATGAGGAGTGGCTAAAGGCATTTCTACATAGCAGGAGAGTGTTTCTGCTGACCTGGGATTTGGATGGGCTGTCGGGGACCAGTCAACCATGAATGTACCTCACCAGGAACTCCTTGGTATGGTGAGCCCCTTACCTACTAGCAATGAGAGAGCTGACCACTCCAAATTCTTGTTCCTCAACTCCTTCCTCTCCACCACTCCCCAGAAAAGGCAAACATGCATGCAAAAGTAAACACATGTGCTCGACATCAGCCAGAAGAAACAATTCAAAAGCCACGTGTCTGGTCACTAAACCAAGGCTCTCCTATGCTCAGGATGACACAAACTCCAGACACTCAGCTGCTTTGAAGGGCACAGAGCAAAGAGCAGGCAGCCAATGTCTACAAATGAGAGGACAACATGGACTGGCCCTTCAGAAAAGAAGGTCACTGTTGTCTCCCAGGGGCACGAAGGCAAGACTCACATTATGAGTAAATGACCTATAGGAGAGGTGCTGTTAAAAGACCAGAATAGGCCCTCCCTGGTGGCGCAGCGGGTTAAAGCACAGCACTGAGAATCTAAAAGCCGCTTCCACATGAGTTCGATCCCCGCCTGCCCCGGAGGAGACCACATGGCGTGGCAGACCTCTCCTGACCCCCCCGCTGCTCCCCTCAGCAGTGTACTTCGTTGATCTGCCTGTTCTGCTCCCCACTCTGTCTCTGGTGAAGCCTCTCACCGCCCCTGAGCCTCTGGCCTGTACCCCAGTTCTGTGTGCACAAATAAATAAATCTTAAAAAAAAAAAAAAAGACCAGAATAACACAAGATGACCTGTGACCCAAAGGGATCTTCCAGGGACACCAAGAAACCAGAGCAGCCCAGATCAAAAATGAGAGGTATAAGAATGAGCTGAGGACCTGCCAGCTGTCTACTTTGAGGAAAGAGAGGAAGCACAACACCAGCTCCCAAGCAAACATAGGGGCCCATCAGAGCCAGAGGCCCAGAATGAATGAGAAAATAAGGAATCTCTGATATTAAAATAGAAGCCAATTGGTTGCCTCAGATGTGCTTCTACCCAACTAAATGGGTGTTGTTCCTTCCCTTCACCACCATCCCCTCCCCCATTCAAGGGGTTCTTCTGGACCAATTTCATCACAGCTACCATGGAATCTCTGCCAGGCACCACACACGCTTTATAGCCCAGTGTATCTGCCTAATGTGTCCACCCACTCTGCTGACTCATCTCTGAATTTATCTGTGGACACACTGTCCAGAGTAAATCACTTTTTGGAGCTCCATAGAGGCCATGTCCTGGTGGGCTAATGTTCACACAGGACCCCACACCCACACATGACTATTCTGATTTTGCCACAGTCATTCTCGCTGCCTTGGAGGCATCATAAACTGTTACAAGGCAACCTAATGTGAACTGGGCTACCTGACTGTGGGTCCTCACCCATGCACTTGAGATTCAACTGCAGGCACACACAAAAAGGTCAATAATGGGTTTATTTACAAGAGGAAAAGGGAGATGAATAACTCAGGGAAAGAGAGAGAGATAAGTTGATTAATGTGTCATACCAGTTCCACTGACCTGGAACCCCAATAGCATGCTGAAAGTCAGCAAAGAGCCAAGAGACAAGCCACAAGCCACAAAGCCAAGAGACCCCCAAAGCCCACATGTTCAGTTTTATATCCAAACATTACTACTTAACTCCAACCTCAGGTCCCAGCATGCTTCCTTTGGTGTTACTGGGATTTGTAGTTCTGGTGTCTGGGGTCGGGGCGGAGACCACAAAACTTGTAGCTAAGCGTTCGTTCAAGACATCCTTTCTCCCTTACACATCTTCTATGATACAAGTTTGGCCAGTGTTCTAGTCTGGTCTCATGAGTGGTGTCTGGATCTTGCCTGGTAACAGACTCCAAAGGCAACTGGCAGACTTACTATCAATAGCTCTATCTCTGGAAAAGGTCTCTGGTATTCATTTGCTGCTTAATTTGTCAGACTGCACTGTCCTGAGGGATTCACAAAGTGTGGACCAGAGAGTGGGAGGTGTGAAGTTACAAAATTTCAGAATTGAAAATGTCCTTTTCCACATCAAAATAGAGCCCTTTTGCTTGTTCAACTCAATGTTTAAAGATGCTGTGGATATGATTACTTATTCATAGCTTCTAACACTCCCCGTTGTCTTTCACTCATCATTTCAGACACATTTCCCTTCCCTGCCTTGTTCAGGAAACATTTAGTTTATACCTCTTGGCTAATTCAGTTGGTCAATTTATAGATGAACAGATAAAGAAGGAGCATATTAAAAACATGCAAAGGGTCAGTTGTTGATTTGAGATTGACAAGTGCTTCTTCAGTTATACATTTATTTATTTATTTATTTATTTATTTATTTATTTATTTATTTAGCCAGTCAGTCACTGAGTAAGATGTGACAGGCTCTGTGTGCTGATACTGAAGCAAACTTTGCATGAAACAGTCTTACCTAAATTATTCATACAGCCCTAGGGGAGACAACAGGTAGATTTCGTGACAAAACCTAAGGTCTATCAATGCCTCAGATAGCAACCAGTCCTGCTTGGGGCCAGGTTCAGCCATGCAGCAAACTGAGATAGCAAAAGAGATGATAATAGGGTGAAAACAGACAACTGCCTGCCTGTGGGAATGACACACTGACATAAAGAAAACATTACAACCGGAGGCCCAGCCAGTGGATAAGATGGTCAATGCAGACCACTAACCATGAGATAAGTGCTGGAGAACAGATGGCAGCCCCAGAATCCTACAGAGTTCCTCAAATAGAAGGACAAGTAGGACCTAGACAGATAGGGGAGAACTCCCATCCCCATGTCAGAGGAAATTAAGGCAGTCACCCTGGGCTGGGCTGGGCTAGGCACAGAAGGGGACAATAAAAGAACATAATTCATCATAGATGGTGTCCCCAAGTCCACTGAAGTTCATCAGCAGCCTCATGATCATATGCCTCTACCACAGAAAATATTCCAACATTTTTGGAGTCAACCCAAACTGAGTGTGAATCCAGGTTCTGTCTCTTACTGACTAGGTAAGTTAGTGAGTTACCCATTCTGTACCTTAACTTATTCCACACACTAAAGTGGACACAATCATACCAGGAAAGTCAATGTTGGTAAAATGGATAATACTGGTAACAGTACACCCACGCGTACATACACACGTGCATGTGCGTGCACAATTTGTCATGTGAGGTACTCCTTTATCTCTCTCCAGTGCCATCTGCTAACTGAATAAACTGAAAGTGAAGTCAAAGGCCCCAGAACTACCTACACAGAGATATGACATTTGTCCCAGAAAACAATAGGTCTGACTCCAGCTCATTGGCTAATCTTACAAAAAGCCTGTCTCTTCATTTCTCACATGACTTGGACTTGTCTTTTCCAAATGATGGAGGAAAGAATGCAGGAGAGGCATCACAAGACTGAGTCACATAAAGGAATGGGTAAAAGGGGCAAATGCAGCAGTTTACACAGCCATAAAATCAGGGCACCAAAGCCAGGATGCCTGGTGCCCAGGTAAAGACAAGGACATGGATATGAAGATGAAGCTCACTAGGGAATCTCAGTCCTCTCAGATTCTATTCAAAGTCAACAATCCTGGGCTCACAAGGAGTAAGCCCCTCCCAAAGAGAAGCTGTCTATACCTGGAGCACGGGGCAGCCACTCCACTGCCCACCTGTGCTTATGCACGTGCTTCTTTACACCCACTCTCCCTCTGCAAGGCAGTAGCCGCCTCCCTGCAACCATGCAGGCCTCTTTCCCTGCAAACCTGACCCTTTCGGGGCAGCTCTTCCTGCCCACTTACACCTAACCACGTGTCTTCCCCCTCTCCCGTCTCTTTCTAATAAACTTCCTCTTTAAAAATAACTGTATCTCGGCCCTCCCTGGTGGCACAGTGGGTTAAAGCACAGCACTAAGAAGCTTAAGCCACTTCCACATGAGTTCGATCCCCGCCTGCCCCGGAGGAGATCCACATGGCGTGGCAGACCTCTCCTGGCCTGCCCGCTGCTCCCCTCAGCAGTGTACTTCCTCGATCTGTCTGTTCTACTCCCCACTCTGTCCCTGGTGAATTCTCTCACCCTCCGCATCTCTGGCCTGTACCCCAGTCCTGTATGAATAAATAAATAAATCTTAAAAAAAAAAAATAACTGAGTCTCTATCTCAGAAGAATCTCACCATGTGCCACTGAAGGAGGAGCTCTGGTGAAACCTTTCCCAGAGTGAACCCAAGAAGCCCGAACTCAAAAGACAACATCACAAAGATGCAGAAATATCTGTGCCATTTAAAATGCATCTTTCTAGCCAGATGATCATCTCAAGAAGAGTCAACAAGAAAGCCTGGTCTGAAAATCACCAAACATTCTGGAACCATTGATCTATCTCCTGAATTTCTAACTCTTGCTAACAGTAGATCAGGAACTAATACTGGGGCTGAGGGGAAGGGTGGAGACACTCAGCTTGTGATAAGGTCCCTGGGGAAGAAGGTTATGACCTGAGCAATGATGCCTATTGTGAACGTACAAAAAGGGTCTCCCCTGTCTGCAGATACACCCACCCATTCCTAGGAGTGACCAAGCTTGGGCTTGAAGTGACCACCCTGTGACCCCTGTGAGTAGAAGGGGGAAGTCTGCTTCTTCAACCAAATTCCATTGTCAGACCAAGAAAATGAAGGTCTAGCTCAGGGAAATTTACCAGCAACCAAGAAGGCTCCAGGGCTTACCCTTCTGCTTGTCAGTATCCAGGGACCACACAGCAGTACCCTGCCCTTAAATGTCCCCATGGATGGGAGCTCACCCCTCCTGGGGCTACCCATGCCTGTGCTAGGCAGCTCTGTTCGCAAACTTACCCCAAGATGGGGCTGGAATATTCCTCAAAACCTTCACCCTTCCTTTGAAGGTGTGAATGAGTATGTTGCTTCCCCATGGCTATCCATTGGACAGTGGAGATGAGTGAGGACAATGTTGCCTCCAACCTTAGTGGAGAATTAAAGTCCTTCCCTGTTGCCCATCACACTTGTAGACTTCCAATAGTGAATGACCCTCAGGGAGAGCTAACCTGGCCTGAGGCACAGGACAATATGGGTTGAGATCCCAGAGTGGGGGGGAGGGGCTGATAGCCTTCACTGTCCACTCCTCACCACCCACCACCCACCCCGTCCCCCACAACCCCTCTCTTTTCCACTGACTCACAAAGCCTTCAGAATCTATCCCTGGAACTTCATTGCATTTCTAAAACTACACCCTTTTCCAAACCTCTTCACCATTTAGCTCCCCTTTGTTATAGTTTCTGCCCCAGGGGGGGTGGGGGGTTGTGGGGGGAGGGATTCCTCCAGTCTGAGGCTGGAGTGCTCTATCTGAGAGAAATAACTGAGAAGAAGTGCATGACAAAATAATGGCCAAGCAGAGCCCAGACTCACCACAGAAGCCCCCCCCAAAGCTAGCATTTTCCCACCCTACTGAGCGTAAAGTGGGAGAAGACTCTCCCCTACGGGTCCCATCTGCGGATCCAATGACTGGGTAGTGCCCGCTAGACTTGGGTGTGGGGAGCGTTATCAGAACCCGGCTGCTCAGATCACGCCCTCCGCCCACGCCCCCTTCTCCCCCTTCCTGCCGGGAGCAGGCACCTCAGCTCAGCGCCCACTAATTGGTCCGGCGGGATCGCTCCAGCTGCGCAGATCCGAGCGGTGCCATCCGCTAAGCGCCTCACACACCCAGCGCTCCGCTCCGCGCCCCTCCCTCTGCCGCCGCGGCCGCTAAACACCGTATGGTCTCCCTCTCCTAGTGGGCCGGGGCATGCCCGCTGCTCCCGCGCCCGGCTTCGGCTTCGGCGGCGGCGAGCGCCCCTGCCCGCCCGCACAGACATGAGGGGCAGCCCTCCGGCCGCCCTGGCCCTGGGCCTGCTACGCCTCTGCCTGGGTGAGTGACCTCTGGGACTCTCGGTGGGGCAGGGGGAGGGGTGGGCACCGGCGCTGCCTGGCTGGCACAGATATGTATCTGTGTCATTCACTTCCAGAGTGGGACTTGGGCTGGGGTACAGCAAGTGATTCTTTCAGCTGCCTGACTCTGAAGGGTAGAGGGGCTCTCCAGGAGCATTCCAGAAGCCGGCACTCCAGACCCTGGGACTTGGGGCCCCCTCCTCCCAACCCCCTTCCCCTGCCCAGCCTGCTGCTCTAGCTTTTTCAGAAGAATTGTGGAAGTTATGGCGCTGCTGCCTGATGGCTGCGTGGGGTTGAACCCTGTGTGACCTTGGCCTTGGCACTACCCCTGTTTGGGTAAGGTGCCCCTTGGTGGGGTTAAGGTTGCAGCTGCCTAGGGTTTAAGCACCCAGGTGGTGCATATTCTTGAGGAGTTTGACTTAGTTGGAGCCCACAGTGATGGGGAAAATCTCTCCATGGTTCCTGAGAGAGAGAGAAAATCTCTCCATGGTTCCTCAGTGTGCTGAGGCTGGGGAGGGGCTGCCTGCCCAGCCTGGAAACAAAAGTGTGAACAAAAGTGGAGGAAACCTGTCCCTCCACTGGCTGAGTGTCCACCGGTTCTTCTGTCTGCCTGCTTTCTCTTCTTAGTCCAAGCAAACTTCGCCCCCCATTTTTTCGACAACGGAGTGGGCAGCACCAATGGCAACATGGCCCTGTTCAGTCTCCCAGAGGACACACCTTTAGGTGAGTGAGTGTTGCTGACACGGGTCCTCCATAGATCTCCCCATGAGACTTTGGTGTTCCACTGGACACAGGGATGCATGCAGGGACCCCCTTCTGAGTCTTTTCAAGACCTCTATGAGCCAAGACATTTTGCTGGCACTCTCTAGAAGCTCTGTTTGTGTTCTGAATCCCTGGGGTGATTGTAGGAAAGGAGGTCACGGCTGCTATGGAGACCTAAGCCAGGTCAGTCCTAGAGATGCTCATGGGCCAAGAGACAGGGCCAGCCCCAGGGGGCATGCTGGTTACATCTGGCCACATCACTGTCTTTAACCCTCTGTAACCTTGAACAACTTACCTCCCAGAGCCTCTGGTTTCTTGGCTTTAAAACTGTTGAAGATCATTCAGCACCCTGGGATCAAGGGGGTGGAGAGGGCTGCAAAAAGAGGCCCTTGCTTTCTCTCTTCTCCCTCACCTTGACTGGGCAAAAGACATGATGTGTAAAAGAGGCACCCAGAAATCCCTGAAGAACTGACCCAGGCATGCAGAACAGTGTTAGCGTTGCAGCCTAGGGTGACCTTAAAGGCTCCTTCTATTGCCCATATGCTATCTCCAGGGAGCTTCCCAGTCTTGGAGACTGGAACAAGAGTCACTAGCAGGTGCAGACCCTAAAGTGACAGGTTGGAAGCATCTCTGTAGCTGGACTAGGTAGTCTAGCTAGGCTAGATAGTGACTGATGCTCTAAAAAGGCAGGAAGAAGACTGAAGCGGAAGCCATGCAGCGGCCACGCTGGAGCCAGAGCTCAGCTCAGGGCAGTACCATTGGCACTGAATTGAACATTCACCTTATAAACAGTTGACTCCTTTGTCCTGAGAAGCTTTAGAAAAAGGCAGGGCCCAGAGTCCAGTTCTCACCCTGTGTCTCCTTCCAGGCTCTCATGTGTACACCCTGAATGGGACAGATCCTGAAGGAGACCCTGTCTCTTACCACATCAGCTTTGACCCCAACTCTAGAAATGTCTTTTCTGTTGACCCCAATTTTGGAAACATCACCCTGATTGAAGAGCTGGACAGAGAGGTATGCAGAAATGTGCAGAGCACTGCCCGCATGCATACAGGTAACCTTGTGGGCTGGAAGGGGCCCTAGAGAAGGTTCTTGGAGAGATCCTGAAAGCTCAGGAGTCAGACAGTGGATCAGGGCAGGAAAAGGTGGTTCAGACAGTGTGTCTCATATTGGTAAAACTCCTGCCCTCTGCACCCTTGAACTTGCTGGCTACCTTTGGAGATCCCATATGAGGCTGGGAGCCCTAGGTGGGTGTATAACTGAACCTTAGCTGCTGCCAGCCTTGTTGGTGGGATACTCCACCAGGCAGAGACCAGCTACAGAAAGAAGGTGGGTCTCAGACCCTGCTATCTGGACAAAGTCATGGAGGTGTTAATGAACTGCCCCTCCCTGACATCCCTGGGACCTGATGACCTAGACACCCTTCCTTATTGAGGATCATGCAGGAAATATTGAGATGTGAGAGATAAGGAGAAAAAGGAAAGGAAAAATCCTTCCCTGAGACCATCAGACATGCTAGGTTATATTTTACTCATTCTAGCAAGGGAGGATTTTTCCATCGGCACCTCAACAATCCCTGTGGGTTTATGAGAACCCCTGATGTGTCAAGCCCCAAAGCAGAGTCTCAGCATGGCCAGAGGCAGTGTTTGACCAGAACTGTCAAACCAGTCTATACTTCCCCAGGGCTTCGCTGATGGACTTAGTGGGTCAGAGAGAGCTCCCTGCAGCCTGGGGGTCCATGAGAGAGTCAGACTCCTATACACTCACTTAGTCCTTGTGCTTTGCAGAGGGAGGATGAGATTGAAGCCATTGTCAGCATTTCTGATGGCGTGAATCTGGTGAGTGCACACCTCGGCCAGCTCTCTGGTAGCACACAATTCCTTGGGCTGAGCCCATTTCCATCCCAAGCGCATCTAGCAGACTGGCAGACCCAAGCCAAGGCCCAGCAAGGTCTCAAAATGCCTGCCTCCGGAGCTTAGCAAGGCCTGTGGGGAAGGAAGGGGAGAAAAGGGCATGAGAGGACAGTCAGCTGCACTTGTGCTAGACCAAACCCGAACAGTCCAGTGTCTGCTTAAGCCTGTTTTCCACCGGCCTCATTTGACCTCTTTCTTGGCTCTGTCCAGTCACCCACTGAACATCTAGGGACCCAGACTCCTTCAGCTTCTCCTTCTTCCACACAATTTCCTGCAGCCCTCATCACTACTTCCTGGTATAGCTGCAGGGTGTCTCCTGCCTCCAGATTTTCGATACTAATCCAGATCCCAATCCACCTCTGAAGTTTAGCCAGGGCCATCGCTGTGGAAAATAGATCTGATCAGCACCTAGCTCAGAGAGTGCTAATAGCTGACCCTTACTGCCCTCAGGATGAAAATCAAACCTCAACCTGGCATGATGGGCCTCCCCACTGGGCACCATCTGCCTCATCTACCTTTTCTCCCATTTCACCATTTAGCCTTAAATCTACTTATGTTCTGGACTGCCTGTGTATTTCATGACTCTTTGCCATTGCACATTTTTCCCTTCTACCTGGCATACCTTTCTGCCTCTTCTGTCTTACCTGACAAACCACAGTAGAGCTTAATTCTCACTCCTCTTCAAAGCCTCACAGTCCATGACAGGCTGAGTTAGATGCCGCCTCTCAGAGTCTCTGGACACAGGCTCCTATGTGCACTCACAGACCCAAGGAATGCAATTTCCTAGACCCCAGGTACCGGTGAGCATCGTATCCCCAGAGTCGGCCTGTTTAGGGGCCTTTCCCTCAGTGCCAGGCCTGTCACTGTTATTAACACCCCGAGTGCTAACACCACCAATTCTATACAGGCTGATCTCTGCTTCATCATCTCATCCCACAAAATACACTTCACTAGACTGTGTCTTGTCTCCAGGATGGAACACAATGCTTGGCACCAAGTAGTTGCATGATAATATTTGTTGCACAAATGAATATGAAATGAATATGAAAGTGGGGAAGGAAAGATTGAGGGAAAAAGCTAAGAGCGGGTCAGAGACATACACCTAGGGCACTAGAGCCGCTGTCCTTTTATTGCCTGGAAGGTCCCACTGTCTCAATTCCTGTCCCCCTTCCCCTTTCTCAGGTGGCAGAAAAGGTTGTGATCCTGGTGACTGATGTCAATGATGAGGCGCCCAGGTTCATCCAGGAGCCCTACATTGTCCAGGTTCCAGAGGTGAGCAAGGGGCCGCTCGGCAAGGCCAGTTTGCTCCTGCCACAGGCCTGTGGCCTGCCCTCTGGGGCTGCCCATGTCCTGGGGGAGAGGAGTGGACATCACACTTCTTCATGGCTCATGAGCCTCTGGGGCGCCCTCCCCTCTGAGTCCTCTTCCCACCTCTGTCACCTGCCCCTCCCATGTTCATTTTTCTTCCAGAGAAATGTTAATTTGCCATCTTCTATGTATTTATGTATGTTTGTTGAGCAAATGCAAAATATATGAAGAAGAAGCAAAAAGAAAAAGATTCAACAGTCACCCCAGAGTCCCTCTAACTTGAAACATTATTAAATATAAGTGTATTCTTTCTAATCACTTAGTGATTATAGGTTCTTATTTTCTGTTTTAATTTCATTGTTATGACTATGCAAAACAGATGGCTTCTGTATCCCATTTTTCACTTCACTTATAACATAGGCATCTTCCTCTATAATTGTAAAGTTTGGATGGCTGTCATTTAGATGACTTCCATTTGGTGAAATTCCGCCATTTACCGAACTGCTCCTTTATGTTAGGATAGGAGATGGTTTAAATGTTTGCTGTCTCAAGAAAACATCAAATTCTGAACATAAAAATGCCTTTTCTCTAATTAGAATTATTTCCTGAAGACACAGTCCAAAATTTAAACTTACAAGGCCAAACCAATGGAGTTGTCCAGAACAGTAGTCTCAAGTCATTAAATATGTGTTAATTCAATAGGAGAAAGATTCAGGCTCTAAATTAGAGGCATATGACCCCTGGTCATGCAGAAGATGTTTATATTTATTAACTTTCTCTCACTTGTGAGCTGGCATTTCATTTTAAACCCTTTATCTACTTGGAGTGCTAGTTTTTCTCATTTGGTCTTTGAAGTCATCTTGAGTGAGATGTCTGTCTGCTCCTCTCTCTCAAGATGAGGAAAGTGCGTCCCTTGCCTACATCCACCCTGGCTCTGGGGGTCTCCTCTCTCACTACCCTGCTCTCTATTGGGTGCTGGGTTAATTGTTGCTTTTCACCTCTTTGCCTCACTTTCCCATGCTTTCCATACCCCCAGTTCCCTGGGTTTTCTGCTGCTCTGGGACTAACCCCCAACTCCCTGCCTGTGACCCCTCAGGACACACCTGCCGGGAGCAGTATCTTTAAGGTCCAAGCAGTGGACAAGGACACAGGTTCTGGAGGGAGTGTCACCTACTTCCTGCAGGTAAGGTGGGACATACAGTGTCTCCAGAGGCCTGAGCAAGAGGGGATACCTGGACAACCCCCACCTCCGTTACCAAGGCTGGTAGGTCCATGAGTGTATAATTTTCAAAGATTATCAGAAATTCCTATATCCCTGTGAAGTCTCAGTACACCTAGGGTTAAATGGACAGGTGTGGCTGTGAGGAGCTCAAGCCCTTCTCCCGGCTGGTCCATCCTGGCTCCCCCTGCCAGCCCTCTCTCACCAGGACCTCAGCTTCCCACCCACCAACCCCTTACCCAGGAATCTGAGAACTTTGCACATGGGGTAGAAGCAATCTTTCTGGGCCTAGACAGATCAATAGGTAAAAGGGCAAAAGGGCAACTCCCCAAAAGGAGAGCTGTGATCCCCCTCATGAGAGTAGCTCCCCTAATGCCCCCTTGGAACACCCCATGTTGTCAGGGACAAGACCACTCCCTGAACCTCTCACCTCTCCTGGCTCCTCAGTAACCAGCTGCTCCCTCCCCTTGGCTGCTATTTCTGTAGAATTTCCTCTTCTCTCCACATTTAGTCACAGTTCCACCCTCACCCCCACTGACTCCGTGCTGCCTGGCACTGCTCTCTTTCACTTACTTGGTGGGAACTGACCTGAAAGTCCCAAAGCCCTTCCCTGTTACTTTGGTTTTTAAGACAGTCCCTCTAATTTAGGGTGCCTGATGACATGCAGGCAAGTCTCCTGATGGAGTCCCCAGAGCTGCACCCAGTAGCTTTCCAGCTGAAAGAGCTAAGACCCTGCCAGGAGAATTTGATGGAGGGAAGAACAGGGGAAGCCCAGAGTCCTACAAAGGGGAACCCTGGGCTAAGAAAGGATGAGTGCCCCGAAGTTCGAACCTCAGCCTTAGGCTGTGACAAAGGACAGTGGTGATCCTTTCAGAAGAGGGCATATTGGTGGGCTGGAAAGGCCCTCTCCTGAGGCCCAGCCTACCCCTCATTCTCACAGAATCCACACTCCACCAAATTTGCCATGGATCGCCACAGTGGTGTGCTGCGCCTCCGGCCTGGCGCCACCCTGGACTATGAGAAGACCCGGGCCCATTTCATCACGGTGGTTGCCAAGGTAACAAGAGGAATGAAGGGGAAACCTCTTCTCTCAGCCTTTGTCAGAGGAAGCTGTCCTTAGGTTGGAACAGAGTTAGTTTCCAGGATGGAATGGGGGGGGGGGTGAGAATGGGAAAGCTAGAGGTTTGATGGGGAGCTACTTGAATGTGTTGAGTGGGGCCTACCAAGATCTATTCTCAGGGAGGCCAGTGTCTGTTGTTGGGGCGGGCATCTTCCCTCCTGGGAAAATGATGGGCAGGTTCCTTTAATAGGACCAGGAGCCATGACCCAGAGCCTCTGCTTTCATATCCTACACAACCTGGCCTCCAGCTCTGCTATCTCTCTGCCAGGTGTGCTCTACGCACCTCATCCTCTCTGTGAAACCAGTTACCCATACCCACTCTGTGATTCTGTTTCCTCATCTGTGCAAACCTACAGCTCACTAAATTCTTCTTATTTCTAAAACACGTGGTGTGGAAGCTGGAACATAGCAGAGGCTCAGACAAAATGTTTGTTTCTTGTCCCAAGGACAGGAACTCCTAACCTTCCCCAGAAAGATCCTTGCTGGTCATATGTTGGCTGCAAGCCTTCCCACTGCAGCCTGAACTAGAAACCCAAGATAGTCCACCCCCTGCTACTTCAAGGATGGAATACACTGCTATTATGCCGATGTATTCATGCTCTTAGTAGGTCCTCAGGAGGTGTTTGAGGTTTGATTCCTCCTGGGAAGGGAGATTGGGTCTGACCCCTCTCCTCTGCCAGGGGTCACAAGAAGCTTTCCTGGAAAGAGAATTGGCCCTGTTTCCAAGAGAGCACTTCTGAGTGCCTACTGCGTAGCAGGTGCTGACTGAAGACCTTCATGCATCATCTCATTTAATTTTTCCAAACCCCTCTGAGGAGAGAGTTATCTGCAGGTGACTAGAAGCTAACAGAATTCAGGGCAGCTGACATCCTAGTAATAGGAGCCAGATTCCACCTGAGTCTAGAGTCTACTCAACCCCAGAGCCCCAACACTCATCCCTCGCCCATTCTTCCCCAGGATGGTGGAGGGAAGCTGCGAGGAGCTGATGTGGTGTTCTCGGCCAGCACCACAGTCACAGTCAATGTGGAAGACATACAGGACATGGACCCTGTCTTCGTGGGCACACCCTACTACGGCTATGTGTATGAGGACAGCCTTCCGGTGGGTTGCTGCACCCCTTGGCCCAGTGTCCCCTCCAGATACCTCCTGCCCTGCCCTTGAAACTACCCAGGATCCCCCTGCTGGCCTGACCAGGCTGGACCCTGAGTCGCCTCCCTCAGGTGGAGGACAGCCCTTTTCCTTTGGAAGTTGAAGAGGGTGGGAGCAGGTGTTCCTATGTGTGGCGCTCCCACTGGCTGCCCAGACTGTGCCATTCCCTTTTCCCAGAGAGAGAACAACAGGTGGCAGGTGATGAGGTGAGGCCTTTCCTATTCCTCCATATGAGGCGAGGTGCCCTTATGCCTCCCCATCCCCAAGCCTGTGGGCCGGCAGTTGTTCTCTCAGGTTTTGCTGCTAAGCCTGTGATACATGGTGCATGAGCCCAGTTAGAAGGCTGGCTTCAGTTTCCCTCTCCCAGTCAGTCTCCACACTGGTGTCTGGTCTTTGTGCCTGTCAGGGAAGGTCTCAATTCAGCTTGGCCATGGCCCAAGGTTCCCTTCATTCTTAGCCTTCACTGTCCTCTACACACCTAGGCACTCTCACTACTCTTTCCCTGTTCCCATAGGACTGATTCCACTTCCAATTTCAAATCAGCTCAGACACCACTTTCCCAACACTTCTGAACTGGGAGCTCTTCTCTGCTGCCTCAGCACACTATGCACACCCTTCTTTGAGCATGCCCTCCTTAGGGTGTTCCCATGCATTTATTTATGGCCTTCTGCCCATCTTACTGCCAGCCAAACTTCACAGAGCCGGGATTCAAGAACACTCTGTGGAATTGAGTGGCATTCTCAATTTTCACTTCCCTGATTTGATTATTCCTAAGTTTATAAAACAAAAGTACTTACTGAGGACTGCACATGGGCCAGGCCCAAGATACAAACTTTGAGAAGCTGACAGTTGAGTGGAGGCATAGAGTGGGAGTGAGAGATGCTGGGCTGCCCAGGTGAGGGCCCCTGACTGTCACCTGATGGCCTGACGCCAGGAAGAGGAGGTGCCCACAGGAGAGGCGGCAGCTCTGGGCAGGCAGGAAGCAGCATGCACATGGATGGCTGCAGAGCAGGGCTGAGTAAGAAGGGGCATAGAAGGGGACAGGCCAGGCTGAGCAGGGTTTGTCTACCCTTCCTGCCCCTCCCCTTCCAATAGCATGCCAGGGCCATGGGATAAAACCCAATTCTTAGAGGTAGGATGTGAGTCCCTCTGTGCTTTGACCTGCTCCTACTTGTCTGTCTTCTCTCCTGTATTAAAGTGAGTGAGGATGCTGGGTGATGCTAGAGGGTGGGGGCTGAGCAGCAAGGGCTGAAAGAAATGTGCAGGAAAAGAGACAATACCAGCGGTGCAAAGATGAGGCCTGTGAGGAGGCCCAAGATTCGTGGGAGCCCACATAAATGGTGGCAGGGAGAGAAGGAGGAACAGTGGAGCTCAGACTGGCCATCTAGCCCTGGGAGGCCAGTGGCTACAGAAGATGGGTGCAGCTACACAGAGACCTGGATTTTTCCCATATGGCCTTAGGTCACAGTGTCTGTAGAGCAGAGGGCCCTAACGTCACCCATCAGCTTCCGTCAACTGCTCTTCTTCCCTCAAGGACTCGGAGGTACTGACTGTGGTCGCCATGGATGGAGATCGGGGCAAACCGAATCATATTCTCTATTGCCTTGCAAATGGTGAGTAGGAAGAACTTTGGGGGCAGGCTCATGGCTGAGTTGTAGCTCTGATTCCCTGGGGGATCAGGGGCTCCCCAGCCTCTCTGGGTCCCAGTTCTCTCATCCATAGGGCCAGAAGTACAAGCTTATGGAGAGGAGAGGCTGGGAGGTGTCACCTTGCCCAGCAAAGGAGACAAGTATTGGGTGGGGAGACTGAGAGCAACGTGTGTGGCACAGACCCATGTTCTCTGCACCCTGGCCCCATGCTTGTTGGCAGGCGGGGCTGGCAGCTCTTCTCACACTCCTCAGTGGCTATTTTTTTCTCATTCTCTTAAGTTCTTTGGGCTAGAACTTGTAGTTCAATTAAATGAACTAAAGGTCATGACGGTATAATATGGCACCTCCCTAACTAGCCCTGTAGATGAATGAAGTGAAAGCTGAGGCTCAGAGAAGCTAAATGGGCATCCCAAGTTCCCGCCACCAGGTGTGGGCCACGTCTCTGGTTCTGAAACCACCCTTTTCTCAAGTGGGCACAAGGAGCCAGCCCAGGGTGGGCTCTGCAGTACTCCTAGGTGGTCTCTGCAGGGCCAGGTCCCTTGGTGGGGCCATCATGCCCATCATGCACAAGACACATACTCTCACTCAGACAGCATCGCCTCCTGACGTGCCGGTGCATGTCAGCCCCTTGATGTGCCGGTGCATACTCCCCTCCAGGGGATGAACATGTCCAGCATCACACACGGCGCCTCCCTGGGGAACATGGGTCCTCACTGCCTTCCCTGTGCACTGCACTCCCTGACACCATTCCCAAGCCCCTGACCACCTATTCTCTCCTGTCCCTCCTCCAGTCTCTTTCTTCCCCCTCTCTCAACTTTCCTTCCACCATTCTCTTCTCACCCCTCTTCCTGTCCCTCCCTCTATATCTTTCTTTTGCTTCCATTTTCTTTCATTCACACACACACATTCGCGCAAACACACACAAGCATTAAGAGAAGCAAAGTAGTAGAGATTCTGGAAGCCACACAGAAGTAAGTTCATGCCCCCTCTCTGCACTTACTGTGTAACCTTAGACAAATGACTTAACCCCTCTGAGACTCAGTTTCCTCATGAACAACACACAGGTGACATATTACATTTTGTAGAGGAGACTTCATTGAGGTAATGCCTGAGGAGTATGTGGCCCCCTGTCTGGCATGACTCCCTTGCGCCCCCTGTGGCACTGTGCAGAACTGCAAGGTGCTTCTCTGTGACAGGGAGCGATGGAGCCTTTGAAATTAATGAAACATCTGGAGCCATCTCCCTCATGCAGAGCCCAGCCCAGCTCCGGAGAGAGGTGTATGAGCTGTTCGTACAGGTAATTTGTCTCTCACTTGAAGAGGACTGCAAAGGTGATAAGATGCAGAATTGTCCTCCACCCTTGACCATCACCCCTATTCCCTGGGGCTTACAGCCGGGAGGAAACAGATGATGCTCCAAGGAGCAGCTATGTCAGGTATCCTGTGGGGACTACAGCAGATGTACACAAAGCTCGTGGCACTCTTGTGAACTGGGAGTCAAGGAGTCAAGTGGAGCTAGATCAAAGCTCCATGGACAGCACGGATAAGGAAAATGCTTGGGGCCAGAGAAGCGTAGGAGGTCTGAATAGGATATTTGGGAATTTCCGCAGAGCAGAGCTAGCTTCCTAGGTATTTGGCCTATACAGTCTGTAGGAACTGTGACTCCAAGTCCCATACTGGCCTTAATACTTTATTGTTGCTGTCTTGAACTTCTTAAATCAGTTTTGAACAGGAGCCCTTATATTTCGTTTTTCACCAAGCTTGCAGTTTTGTAGTTGGTCCTGCCCAAGAGCAATACAGAGCCTCTGAATGGTATTAAGCATAATTTAAGTCCTATTTAAAAGTTACTCTGTCTGCATGCTGGACAAAGGAGGTTCTCAAAGTCAGAGATCTTTGCGAAGATTTTCGGCCCACACCAGGGAATGGGGAGTTAGTGTGTGCAGAGCAAACCCAGTCCCAGCCTGGTAGTTGAGAACCCTGGGTTTGGAGGGAACTGAAGGAGAGCAGAGCCAAGAACCAAGGTGGTAGATGAAGAGGACCTGTGGGCATGAGGGGAGAGGTGTTGGCAGAAGTGAAGAAGTTGCAAAATAAGGAGGAGACAGATTCCACAGAACATGGCTGTAAAGAGTGGTGAAAAATGGATGAGGGCTTGGGGGTGCCATGCCCTCGGGGACACAGGAGAGGAGGCAAGATAAGCAGAAGAACAGTTTGAATTGGGAAACTTTGGGAACATTCAAGTCGACACATGCACACTTGGGTGCTCAGGTTTGGAATTTAGGGAAGGGCATAGCAACACAGAGGAAGCTGGGAAAGGTTGGATTGGGATGAGCTCTTCCAGAGGGTGGCCTTGAGGGAGGGGAGCCTTTGGCCAAACACACAGTTGTGGGAGCACCTGCAGCTTAGAGGGAAGAGGAGGGAGGAACCCAGGAGAGATCATAACAGGAACCTGCAGAGTTCCTTTTAGCCAAGGAGACATGGTGCTCAGGAGATGAAGGAGCAGCAGAAGGGATATACAATGAAGTCAGTGGCTAGAAATTAGAAGGAAAGTGACAAATGTCAGATGGTGTCACTTATAAGTGGACTATAGGAAAAGCAAACAAAGGAAAAGTCAATACTAGCAAGCAGACCATAGAACTGAAGCATACAACAAAGAAGGCAGAGTGAAGAGGGTCAAAACAATGGAGGGATGAACACAGGG